GGGCTCCAGCGTGTCCACTTACCTGCTGGGGCCAGGACCCCATAAATGGGTTTCCGGGGGGAGGAGGAGGGGGAGGCACACGGCTTGGTCTGCGGAGAACAAGTTTGAGGTTTCTGTCTAGTCTACCCATGGCTCTTTACATTTAAACTGATTAAAATTAAATACAATTAAAACTTCAGTTCCTCAGTCTGACTAGCCCCATTTCAAGTGCTCAGCAGCCACATGTGGCTAGGGGCTACTCTATTGGACACAGCGGATAGAAAATACCTCCATCGGGGTGGATGGGTGGCTCAGTCTGTCTTCTAAGCGTCTGTCTTCCCCTCAGGTCATGATCCCAGAGTCCCGGGATCCAGCCTCTCCCTAAGCAGGGAGTCTGCTTCTCCCTCTCCCTCTGCCACTCCCCCTGCTTGTGCTCCCTCTCTCTCTCTCTCTCTCTCAAATAAATAAATAAAATCTTTAAAAAAAGAAAAGAAAATACCTCCATCAACACAGAATGGTCTATCAGTAGCGCTGGTCTATACAAACTTCGCACACACAAAGCTGCACAAGCAGATCAGCCCTCCCCCGGCCCCAGACACTCAGCACCCCCACCCTCTATGCAGCACACAACAGACATTTAATTCCACTCACTCACACAACACCCACCCACCAACACGGTTAGGCAAGACTCTCAATGTGTATACACATTTGCAGTGCATGCCGCTGTCCATACCAAGGCGAATGTAAATATAAACACTTAAACACACATCATCGCACTGATTCACATACAACGGCTCATACAATAAAAATACAAATTAGGGCAAAATGCATTTGCAAATATGCTGAAATAGATACAAACTCAAACCATGTGGTTCTCATAACATATCTCAGCACATTTTCGCAAACTCAAGTACGGGGAAAGGGAACCCACATTGTTGAGCCCCTGCCAATGTGCCAGGCATGGAGTTAGCCATTTTGATGTATTAATTCATTTAATCTCACAGCAACCTTGCAAGGAAGATGTATTATTCCATTTTAATAGATGAGACAGCTAAGTTTCAGAGAGGTAAAGTAACTCAGTCACACAAGCCAGGGTCAAATATAAACCAAGATTTGTCTAACTTCATAGCCAATATGCAGCATGCTATCTCCAAACACATGTGCATAGGCGTGCACGTGCATGCACACACACACACACTCAAGGTGTACCCTCCTTTGTACCTAAGAAGGTAAGTCTTGTCGGCCAGCAACTGCAGGGATTTTTGGAAATAAGCATGGAGTTGCCCAGATTCATTTACATTCCCTCCTGAGACATGGCATTAAGTCATTCAACAAACACTTGCTGAGTGTCTTCCATGTGTCAAATTCTATGTTAAATACTGGTTCACAAAGGAAATGCCACAGTTGTTGCCCTGAAGGAGTTCAAAGTGAAGGTGTGAGGTGTGAGGGAAACCTAAAGACAATACAGGACACACAAGAGACCCAAGCTATAATGAAAGTAGGCCAAAAATGCAGGGAACCAAAGGGAAGGTAAGCTGGGTCTCCTGGAGCAGTAAGGGAGGCTTCTTAGAGGAGGCAACCCGTGAGCTGGGGCATGAAGAAGGAGTGGGGTGGAGAGGGATTGGTATGGATTGGGAGATTGGTTGAGAGATTAGCTAGGGCAGGGAGGCAGATGCCAAGACATTGCAGGCCCTGGGGATTTTATATGTCATCCCCCAGCAACTGGGGGAATTGAAAAATTTTTACAGTGGGAAATAGGACCCCATTTGCATGTTAGAAAGAATGGACAGAAGGGAAGAAAGCCTGGACTAGGGAAATCATGCAGGAAGCTACCACAATAGCCCAGACAGGAGTTGGTAAGGCTTGATGTACAGTGAAAGGCATCTAGACAAGGTGAGGGATAGACAGGGATGGGGGAGTTGGGGTCTATCCTGGTCCCGAGAAAGAGCATTGCAACAGGTTTCTGACCCATGAAAATGTGATGAAAGCCTGGATTCTCTCTCAGAACAAGGCATATATTCATAGGCACACTATCTTTTGCACATAATTATAGGGATTTTTAATCCCTGAAGCCCCAGGTTAAGAACCCAGTTCCTTGGAATTCTAACAGGCAAAACAACATGGTGGTTAAACCTGTGGAGGCTAGAATCAGCCAGCCTGCTTCATCACCTCAGCTCCACCACCTATTACTTATATGAACTTGGGCAGGACATTGACTCTTTCCTTTTGTGCAAAGCAGAAGTGAACCTAGCACCTATATTGAGGCTTGTTACAATAATCAAGTGAACCAATACATGGAAAGTTCCAGAATCTTGCTCAGGAAGTACTGGCTGCTATTACTACGGGTTAAATCAGAGTGTTATTAAGATGCACACATGGGGCGCCTGGATGGCTGAGTTGTGTTAAGCATCTGATTTCAGCTCGGGTCATGATCTTGGGGTCCTGGGATTGAGCCCTGCGTTGCTCAGTGGGGAGTCTGCTTCTCCCTCTCCCTCTGCCCCTCCCCCCCCCCACTTGTACGCTCACTCTCACTCTCTCTGTCTCAAATAAATAAATAAAATCTTGTTGGGGTGCCTGGGTGGCTCAGGTGTTAAGCGTCTGTCTTTGGCTCAGGTCATGATCCCAGGGTCCTGGGATCGAGCCCCGCATCGCATCGGGCTCCCTTCTCAGCAGGAAGCCTGCTTCTCCCACTCCCCCTGCTTGTGTTCCCCCTCTTGTTGTGTCTCTGTCAAATAAATAAATAAAATCTTTAAAATAAATAAATAAATAAAATCTTTTTTAAAAAGACCCCCTCACTACACTTACTCCCCTTTGTACCCCACTTCATAGCTGGGGAATCTGTTGTCTTCTGGTGTGGCCCTCCAGCCTGCGTCCTAGCACCCATTTTGCCCTTTCCCAGAACCCACCCCTTCCCTTTTGGCTGAGTCTCCATTATCCTCAAGCCTGGTTCTTAGAATTAACATTAACCTCTCTTCTAGGAGGAGGGAGAGGCACCTGGGTGGTTCAGTTAGTTAAGCATCTGCCTTTGGCTCAGGTCATGATCTCAGGGTCATGGGATCAAGACCCTTGGCAGGCTCCCTGCTCAGCAGGGAGTCTGTTTCTCCCTCTGCCTCTGCCCCTCCCCCCTGCTCATGCGTGCTCTCTCTCAAATAAATAAACAAAATCTTAAAAAAAAAAAAAAAAGAAGAAGAGAGAGAAGAGGACATAGGCCCCATCACCATGGAGACCCAGTCCTTGCCTTTCCCATAAGATGACAGTAGGAAGAAGAAGACATTTGATTTGGGGGAAGGGGGACCCTTCAGCATGGGGGTCCTTCCCAACTCTAAAATCACAGACTACCTCCTCACTGTGTCCTGTCAGCTCCTCTCTAAAGTGTCCCAGGTCCTCATTTTCCATTTGCTCCGACCACCTACCCCCACCCCCATCCAGGTTCTAACAGGAGTTGGGGGCAGTAGATGCCAAATTTATTGAACTTAGAAAAGTGATGGAGAAGAAAACAGGATTTCCCATCAGAAGATCCACCACTGAGTGACTGTGTGACCCTGATGGGGTCTCTTACCCCCTGGGCCTGAGTTTCCTAATCTGTAAAATAATACTGGCCCCCCACTCTTCATGGGATCTTTGTAAAGACAAAATGAGCTAGCGGTTAAAATTGGAAGCTGCAAACTTCAGTGTGGGTAGGAGTTGCTCTTAGTCCTCTTGGCCTTTTGGGCTCTGTGATCCCCCTTCAGCTGGAGCTGACAGAGCCCAGAGGTCCCAGGACCCCTGCAACTGGGTCTCCAGGACTATCTGGAGCTGAGCAGAATGAGCTGCTCTTGAGAAGAGAAGCCCTGTAAGCGGGAGAGTTGGGGTTTTGTACCCCAGCTCAGAAGAAGCACAGAGGCTGTGAGGGAATTCCTAACTTGGATGAGAGTTAGGGGTCCAGCTTCCATCTCCCATCGCCATTCTGGCTTCCATTCTGACATGGGACAGGTAAACTGGTCCACAAGAAGCTATGATGGTTGCCCAGAGGTGAGGCCAGGCCAAGCCACTCTGGGGAAGATCCAAAGCTGGTTCAGATCACATCATTAAGAACCTGAGTCAGCTACCTTCCTCCTGCCTTTTGAGTCCTCAAATCTATGCGGCCCTAGCATCACTCTAACTAGCCCTATAATAACAAGCAAGAAGAAGAACAGAGAGAGGACTGAGGGCTGGCTCATGAGAGCTAGCTTTGCCAGCTCACTGGATCCGGGCCCATCTCTCTGCACAACTATCCTAGACTATCTTTTGACCTGTGTCTCCCTGACTTGTGAACTTGAGGACACAAGGAGTCTTATTAATTTCTCTATCCCCAGTGTTAAGTACTGTGCCGGATACACATCAGTCATTGTACCATTCCTTCAATAATTCTATTGAGCATTGTGCTAAGTGCTGGGGACATAAAGTTTAACAAGCCAGACCAAGTCCCTGCCCTCATGGAGCTCATTTTTGTTTGGTTTTTGGTGCTGAAACGCGGGAGCTCATATTTTAGCAAGGAAGACACACAATAAAGATGTAAACCATGACAATTATAAATTATGAAAAGTGCTGAGAAGGAAATAGAGTGTTGGGTCGGGGGATGGATGTTACTTGAGAGATGAGTGACAGGGAAGATCTGAGATCTAAGCTGAAATATGAAGGATTGAAAAGAGCAAGACCAAGAACATCTTTGCTTAATATATGTGTTGCAAGTATGGATGGCTAGATGAACAGACAAACAACCAATGGGGCGGATTCTAATGTGAACGAGAGTTAAGCTTCAGTACCCAGTCCCTAGCGTGCTTAATTCAAGAGAAGAGAGTGGGCGGGACTGGGGACCCAGGATTCCCAACCTGCTCTCCCAGAACTCCAGTTGAACCAGCCGGCCTGGCCCGAGGGGCCGCTGGGGGGCGACCGAGAGCCCACTCATTTCCCTTTAAGGCCGAGGCGGAAGACAGACGGAGGAAGGGCCTTTGTGTCGGCGGGATAGAAATAGGCCCGCCCCTTTAAGAGGGCGGAGACGCTGGAGTGGCGGCCACTTCGAAAGCGGCCCTGGGCTGCGGTCCCCGGCCTCCCGGCGGCCCTCTCTCGGCCCCCTCCCGGGTCGCAGAGTCCTGTCTTTGCGCCCTCGCACCAGAGACCCCGCTGCCCGGACTCCGCCTCTCCCGCCCGGGACAAGTCCGAGGCCCCGGCGACCCCTCGAGTCGGGGCCTGCCCGGCTAACCCTCGGTCGGGAGGCCGCCCGCCGTCGCCATGGTAATGCTGCGCCCCGGGCCGCGGAACTGCCTTCGGGCTTGCGGCCCCGCACTCGTGCGAGCTGCACGGCCGGGTTAGGGTTTGGGTCAGAGCGTGGTGGCTTCGGGACACCTGGGCTCTAGTCAGGGCTTGCCTGAGACCCTGGGAAGGCTCTCTCCACACACCTCCCTCTGGGCCTGGTTCCCTCCTGCTGCCTTCCATCTCTTCTTGGAGAAGTGCTCATCGTTCTCGGGGCGCTCAAACGTCACGCCTCCAGAGCCGACCCCCTCCCCCTAGCCGGTTACCCTCTGATCCTTGGACGCTGGGGGGTGGGTATGTCTAACTGCAGCTCTTGGCTGCTCTGGCATCTGGCGTTAGGCACAGCCCGCCGCGCTGGGCTTGACACATGCCTCAGAATTGGCTGCCCCAGCCCTGCTGCCTAGAAAGAAGGAGCTGTGGACCAGGGCATCCTGCCCTCCTGGGACGCTGGCTTTGGTGCATTGGATTAGATAGAAGGAAACCACTTGTTTCAGAAACAAGGCCACTGTGCTGGGCATGCCTGGATTTATGGTAACCTCTCCTACGTTTTTTTTTTTTTTTTAAGATTTTATTTATTTATTTGACAGAGAGAGACACAGCAAGAGAGGGAACACAAGCAGGGGGAGTGGGAGAAGGAGAAGCAGGCTTCCTGCAGAGCAGGGACCCCGATGCGGGGCCCGATCCCAGGACCCTGGGATCATGACCTGAGCCGAAGGCAGATGCTTAACAACTGAGCCACCCAGGCACCCCTCTCCTACGTTTGACATAGGTTCCCCAGGCCAAATCTTTGGGATGTTGCAAAATCCTTAGGCCCATGTGCACAGCGCTGAGTCTAAAGAATGACCCATGCTCCCTTTGTCAGCCTTCCCCTTGCCTCCTCCTCCCTCTTGCAAGGCGAATGCAGATGGACCCGAGTGGATTATTTTACAAGAAAGGACTCTAAATCATGTAAATCTTTAAGTAAATCCCATCTCTTCCCTCCTCATCCCTTATTCCTCCTTCAGCACTAGCAAAAAAACAAAACAAAACAGTACACCTGATGGTCTTGTTAGAATTGGAAGAAGCATAGTGAGGACAGAATGTACTTGCAAACAGTATCTCTCCTCCAACCTCAATTGCTTTGTTTTCCTTCCAGGCATGCAGTTTGCAGAAGCTGTTTACTGTGGAAGAAGAGTTTGAAGATGAGGTAAGGAAGTGTTGGTGATCAGAGATAGCAGAGGAGGTCTTGAGCTGTCAACACCCAGACCCAGAACATTTTGATGCAGTCTGCCCCAGCCTCCTTTTACTTGACACGAATAGCTTTTTTTGGCTGTGATTTGGCTGTGACAGGCTGAGAGAAGACGAGACATGTAAACAGCCTACTTAACTGTTTTAGAGGCAGAAAAACAGAGCTGCCTAATTGGCATACCTTTAAATTACAAGGGCCTTTGCCTGGAAGCTGGGTCATGTGGATGATTTAGTTCACCTTTATGATGGAATACTTGAGGTGGGAAGAAAGTTTATGGAGAACCAGAGACAACACAGTTAGTGGATGACAGGAGGCCTGGGGTCACCAAGTGGCTATGTGAGCCAGGGCAGATTACTTCACTCTCTGGCCTTCTGTTTTCTCTTCTGTAATAGGAGGGATGTTCTTTTGCCTCAGATTTTCTTCGCTTCCCTCTGTCTCAGAAGATGAGGGATTAGACTAGATCGGAAGCTGGCACATTAGAATCACTCCTGCTGAGGCCCTGACACACACCAATTAAATCGGAATTTCTGGGGATGGGCCCAGGCAGGGCTATTTCTAATCTTGGGGTATAGTCAGAGATCACTGAACTAGCTAGCAATCCCCACAGCTCTCTTCCCACTCAGATCCAATGGATATGGTTTCATCTGGGAGGTCCAAAATTGCTACCTGAAATCCTTCTCAGAAAGAGGCAGGATTTAAGTGAGTAAAATGCAAAAAAGGTAAGAATACAGCACCAACAACCAGGGTGAGGTCTTGGCCTCCTGATTCCAGGCTAACATACGTAGATACTAAACTACATTTATAGAGTAGAATTACTTTATTTATCAATGACAAGCCATTCAAACTTACTTTTTGTCTCCCAGTGCTGTGCTTTAAAAATCATGTTTAGAATTTGTCGAGATGCCCCATTTGTACCTAGTATGGTGATGAATGCTGCACCAGGGACCCAAGCCCCACGTTCCCCTTCCTATGAAGCTTTTGGAACCTAAGGTTTGAAAAGGAAAACAGACCTTCCTCAGACCTCTTAAAAACCGGTCTCTGGCATGTCTCATTCATTGAGGCCCTAAGACATGGTGACAGGGACACATATGGGTTCTAGTCCTGGTTCTGTGAAGTTACTTAACTTCTGAATCTCCACTTCTGCATCTGTAAAACAGGAATAATAACACCTATTAGGGCCATCATGAAAACTCATTGAGAGAATTCTGGTAAAATGTTTACATGGTCCCTGGCACCCAGTGCCATTTCAAACTGTTAGATGTTCTTGTCATCACTTGGGGACTTGAATTTTGTTTTTATATAAAAATTCAAAATTGCCAGCTTTGTTGAGGAGATGTGTCCTTGTCTTTGTCTTTCAGCTTTGGAAATGTGTAATTACAGGCTGAAAAAGTGACTGCTAAGTGCCCCACTTGGGTCTTACCAGGTGATGGGAGGACTGCTGAGCTGGCAATGGGATTAAGAGTGAAGGTCTCTGGAACACCTGGCTGGCTCAGTGGAGCATGTGACTCTTGATCTCAGGGTCTTGAGTTCGAGCCCCATGTTGAGCGTAGAGATTAAATTAAAAAAAAAAAAAAAGAGTTCAAGTTTCTGTTCCAAGACCAGTCCCTTTCCCCCTTCCCCAGGCGGATGACGTCATGTCTAAGAGTGAGCCCTTTAGGGGAAAAGGGATCCATCAACCTCCAGGATCATCAGGATTTCATTGCTGCTATAATTCTGATATTGCTAAATCCCATGGTAGTCCTGCTGGAGTATGCTACTCCTGATAATACACAAAGCAGGAAAAAACCTTGCCCTGGCCCAGACAGTCCAATGCAGCGGCAGAGGATGGTGGTGGAGGGGACCTTCCTGTCAGTTAAATCAGCAGCTCTGACTCAAAAACACCCTCAGAACAGGTCTGTTGCTCTTGAAGGTGTCAATCTCACCTTGCTTCCCAACTGGAATCCGTACTTAATTTAACTTGCTTGAAAAGCTATATTTAACTTCTGCCTATTTTGCTAGATCCAAGGCCTCTGGCTTACTGAAGGCTGTGTGTGTGAGTGTGTGTGTGTGTGTCTGGTGGGTGGGGGGAGGAGTGGGTTGAGGACAGGCAGCATGACCAGCTGGAGAGACCCCTATTGCACAGGCTGGACACCAGGAAACTTGTTTCCTTGAGATGCGTGTGTGACCTTGGGTGATTTGATTCTCGGTGCCCAGGTATGTTTGCTTCTGCTGCTCCCCCGCCCCCCAGGAGAAGCTACCTAAAGACTTAGCCTTAGAAAATTTCTTTTTTTTTTTTTTAGGACTTTTTTCCTCAAGTTTTTAATTAATTAATTTGTTTATTTATTTTTAGAGGGGGGAGGGGCAAAAGGAGAGGGAAAGAATCTCAAGCAGACTCCCCACTGAGCGTGGAGCCCAGTGCAGGGCTCGATCTCACAACCCTGAGATCATGACCTGAGCCGAAATCAAGAGTCGGACGCTTAACTGACTGACCCACCCAGGCGCCCCTCTTCAAATTTTTATTTAAATTCTAGTTAGTGGGGCGCCTGGGTGGCTCAGTTGGTTAGGCATCTGCCTTCAGCTCGGGTCGTGATCCTGGGGCCCTGGGATCGAGCCCCGCATCGGGCTCCTAGGTCAGCAGGGAGTCTGCTTCTCTCTCTACCCACCCCTCGCCACAGCTCGTGCTCTTTCTCTCTCTCTCTCTCTCACAAATAAATGAATGGAATCTTTAAAAAATAAATAAAATAAATTCTAGTTAGTTAACATATAGTGCTAAAGATTTTATTTTTAAGTAATCTCTACATGCAAAGTGGGACTTGAACTCACGACCCTGAGATCAGGAGTCACATATTCCACCAACTGAGCCAGCCAGGCACCCCTGAATGTTTCTGGGAGAAGTCTGGGGGTGCTGGGGCACCTGGCTGGCTCAGTCGGTGGAACATGCCACTCTCAATCTTGGGATTGTTAAGTTTGAGTCCCACATTGCATGTAGAGATTACTTAAAAAAAAAAAAAAAAAACTTAAAAAAGCGGGGGAGTGGGCTTATGGGCAAGGTCAAAGGTGGTGAGAGACCCCACCACAGCCTTCCATGCCTTGGTTTCTTGCTTACGTGTATCTGTGCCTACAAACATACCACATGCCTGAAACAGTAAAAGCAGAGTGTTTCTTGATTTCTGGATGCCAAGACCCACCGTCTCTGCTTCTTTGTAGGACTTCTTGTCTGCTGTGGAGGATGCAGAGAACCAGTTTGCTGGCTCGCAGCCTGTGAAGGCTGGGTGCCTGAGACCCGTCTCTTCCAGGCCACAGGACTCTGTGCAGGCACAGTCTTCTGGGCAGTTGCCATCAGGCCCCACTGCTCCTTCAGAGGTTTTGCGCCTGTCAGCTCTGGGACTCCGCCTTCCTACCTCCAGCATGCCTGGGGCCATCAGGGGTCCACCTTCCGTAGGAACAGCCCCCCTAAGGCCTGTCTCGACTTCTAGCAGCTGGACTGGCCATCAGAGACAAGTGATACTGACCGAAGTGCTCAAGGAGCCAGCCAGACCCCAGACCTCCGCTTCCTGCCCCCTGCTCAGGTTTGAGAGCCAGCAACCAGTGACTGGGGGCTTCGAGGGGCCTGAACAAGATGAATTTGATGAGGTCCTGGCAAGCATGGAGCTGGAGGGGCCTGGCATGGAGCTGGACATTGGAGTCAGCAGTGAGGCCCCAGGAATCCTGCCCACCTGGCATCAGGAGGACTCAACAGTGGCTAAAAAGGCCCGGGTAGCTGATCTGAGCAGGTCTTGCCAAAAGGGGCCCATACCTGCTCCCCACATACCTAGTGTCCTGTCAGCCCACGATGAGCCTCCAGAGCCTGTTGTCCACTGTAGGACTCTACAACCCCCCTTGAGATCTGGTGCCACCAGCAACCTTCCCATCCCAACTGCTTCAGTGCTTCCTGCTCAGCAGCCCCCCTGGGAAGCCTGTCGGAAGGGCCCCCCAGTTCAGGCACCACAGCCTCCCCAAGCGGCTGGCAGGCCTGTTTGGAGCAGGCCTCAAAACCATTTCCCTGGTCACTCATTCCAGTGTCCAAATGCCTCCATACCTGGCAAATCTCATTTTCCCGGACCACGAACTCCCAACTCGATCTGTTCTACTCCCTCAAGGACTATCTCTGGATCATTTCCCCAGAGCCCCTTACAACCCCGAGCTCCAGTGTCTTCTGTCAAGTGTCCTCTCAGCACCCCAAAGAGCCCCCATTCCTCCCCGGCTCCCCAGGCAGTTCTGCAGACGCCCATCGTCACCAACCACCTGGTGCAGCTGGTCACTGCCGCCCACCGGACACCCCAGCAGCCCGCCCACGCCAAAACTCGCCGCTTCCCCGGCCCGGCCGGGGTCCTGCCTCATCAGGTGAGGGACAGCTTGTCTTGGGCAGAAGCTGGACCTGTCCCGCACACGGGCGGGGGGGTGGGGCGGGAGGGAGAAGCAGGAGTTCCAGTGCCATCCAGTCCCACAATATCCTTACTCCTGGGGGGTGGGAGGGAAGGAAGGAAGTGTAGAGAGGGGGTTTCCAAAGCTGCAGAAGTTCAAAGAAGTGGGAAGGAAGAATTGAATGCTCGAAAAGCCACAGGTGAGAGAGCGCTTCAGGCTCTGAGAACTTCACGACTTTCCTTTGTTGAGCGCCTCCTGTTGCTAGCACTGGGGCGGGAAGATCCGTTCACTTATATTTACTAAGGACTTGTATGCGTTGGGCGATTTGCTTGGAACTGAGAACGCAGAGGTTAAAATAGAAGTAGCTCCTGTCCCAAGTTGTTCACGGCACAGCAGAAGAAGCCAATGTGAAGGAACGATGATACGTAAAATGCAGTGTCCCTGGGTGCTGTGGAGACACTGGGCTCCTTGGGCTTCCTGAGTGGGCTTTGGAGGGTCAGGGAGGAGGTTAACAGGTGTGTGTGTAGGAAGGCTGTGCTCTGGGAGGCATTTCAGCAGTGGGAAGACAGGGAAGAGTGTGTGCGAAGGCACAGAGGTGTAAGGGCAGGATGCTGTCAGAGGTACACGGAACAGGTCACTGTGGCTGGCGTGTGGGGTCCGCGTGGGGAAGCTGCGCTATGCTGACAGTTTGGATTTCAGCGATGGTGGAGGGACAGTATCCATCAAATCATCTTGGATCAGATTCCAGATCATGGGACCCTGAGGGTCCACTCTGGTTGTGATTGGTGTACTCCTTTTCTCGCATTTTAAGGGTGGTTCAAATAATTTCTGCCCGTTCCTTGCCCTTTGCTAGCACTCTAAGGAAAATCCAAGGAGGCCGTCCACATTCCTCCTGGGCTGGAGCTCTGTGGGGAAGGGGTAGGTCCCTGAGAAGGGCCTTGGGGAAGGCTGCCCCTGGGCCTATCCCAGGCCTCTCTATCCGGGTCATTGCCTCCTTCAGGAAGCCCTGGGTTCTGCTCCTGGGCCAGCTCCAGCTTCCTCACATTTCCTAAACAATCCCCAAAGCATCTTTTTTGAGCTGCCAACAAGGCTCCCGAGACTTCGTTAGGAGAGATGTGATATGTGTTAATTGTCCCTGATAGTTTCCTGAACTCATTATGTAAGCCAGACAAGAAGCTGTACTTGTAGGTAACAGCTGCTGTGCTTGCTCTCACCTTCCCCTTCCCTCTCCCCTTGTAGCACAGTGAGAAGAATCTGGAGGAGATCGTGGTTTCCACACCCCAGACTCCGACTCACAGTGCTCGGGCTAAATTCCGGACAGAGGTAACTAGTTCCACGCAAATGCTGATTTCCTGGGCATCGTTTAAGAGCGAGCAAGGGACATCCCTGTGGGTTCCAGGAGGTGGGAAGCAGTCTACGCTGCTAGGCCTGTTCCCGGGGTCATGCACCAAAGGTCACGCACATGGTGAAGGCCGTTTGGAGAGGTGGCGGTTTTACTGGCATAAGGGGAAGCCTCTCCTGATGCTGCCCGAAGTCATGCGTCCAGTCTTCTTTCTCATCTAAGAAAGGCCCAGCTAACTTCCATCTTCTCTCGGGGGAGGGAAGTGTCAGAAGTATGAGGAAATTGTATCTCAGGATCCCCTCCTCTCAGGTTTCGGGGAACTGAGCTGGGAAGCATCTGCCTTCGTCTGGCCTCCAGTGGGTTTCTTTTTGGTGGGTGAGACCCATCTTCCCTCCTCACTGGAATTCTGGTTGACCTGCTCTGCCCTCAGACCTACTTTTGCTTTTAATTCTCTTTGCTGCACTTCCACAGATCCACCAGCCCGCTTCAGATCCAGAGTAGCAAATACTCATCTGGATACAAAGCATTCTTTTTTTTAAGATTTTTTATTTATTTATTCGAGAGAGAGAGCGTGAGAGCAGGGCACAGGGAGGTGCAGTGGGAGAGGGACAAGCAGACTCTGCACTGAGTGAGGAGCCCGATGTGGGGCTCGATCCCATGACCTGATCATGACCCGAGCTGAAACCAACAGTCAGACACTCAACCAACTGAGCCACTCAGGTGCCCCAAAGCATTTTTTAATATAAGGAGGTTAATAGTCAAGCCAGAGGCATCCCAAATAAACTATGACTGGTTTCAAAATGGCTAAGGCACTCGGGGCGCCTGGGTGGCTCAGTCATTAAGCGTCTGCCTTCGGCTCGGGTCATGATCCCAGGGTTCTGGGATCGAGCCCCGCATCGGGCTCCCTGCTCGGCGGGAAGCCTGCTTCTCCCTCTCCCACTCCCCCTGCTTGTGTTCCCTCTCTCGCTGTCTCTCTCTCTGCCAAATAAATAAATCTTTAAAAAAAAGTGGCTAAGGCACTCTGGAAGCCTGTCAGTGTGTATGGGGGCTCCCTGGCCCTAAGACTTCTCGAGTCTATTACACAAGAGACGTAGCCTTTTGCTTCAATGCAACTAAAGTCAGGACTTGATTAAAATAAAATAAAAAAATAAAATAAGGAGCACCTTTGCTATCTCTGCTTAGTGAAAGATGTGCTATGCAACAAAATCTCACATACTGTTTTGTGATGTAGGAGAGGAGAGACTGGTCACCATGCTATAGGGAATTCGCCCTTCCCTCGCAGCCCCCCATCCTGTCTCAGCCAAGGTCTGTAGCAGGGTGAATCCATTAATGTAGGCTCCCCCTCTGCTCTGTGGTGCCAGATTGTTACTAGTTCCCAGCCATCGGCGGAGGAGGATTTTGGGCGAGGGCCCTGGCTGGCCATGAAATCTGCTCTGGGCCTGGACGAGAGAGATTCTACCTGCTTCCTCTGTACCTACAGCATCATCATGGTGCTGCGGAAGGTAAGGATCCTGGGTGCTGAGACGTGCAAGAAAGACCATTTTTCTCCTTTTCACCAACGTGCTGTCCTACTCCACCTTAGGAAAGGGGCTGTCCATTTGCTCCCTCTTACCCCAGGCCTATCTCTGAGCAGCTGCATGGAGGCCCTTTGGTTGTATCTTCCACTCACCCAGCATTTCACTACTATTGGGCACAGGTGGAAGGCGAAAGTGGGGTATGGGTATGTCTCTGCATGTCCAGGCCCTGGATGAGGTGGGGTGAGTACACGGCTACCTTTCAAGCTCCCTAGAGGTCCAGGGTCCTGTGCGGACATGTGCCCATGGCCCACGGTGATGGAGCTCTGTATAAATACATATATGCTGGAGAAAGGAAGCAGGGGGGATAAATGAAGGACCTGCCAGCCTCGGGTCTGCTAGAGAGAGAGAGACAGGATGAGTCCTTCAGACTGCCTTTTTGCCCTCCACAAATGGCAGATCCTCACCACATCTGTACTCTGCGCCCCCCCCCCCCCCCCAGCTCCCGGGTTGCCTTGGCACACTTGGGAACCTCACAGGTAGGACGTGGCTTGCTCAGCAAATGCCTCTCCTTGTAACCAGGCAGCCCTGAAGCAGCTTCCCAGGAACAAGGTCCCCAACATGGCAGTGATGATCAAGTCCCTGAGTCGGAGCACAATGGACGCCAGCGTGGTTTTCAAGGACCCCACGGGTGAGGAGTCAGGTCCTGGGAGAGTCTGATGAGTGGCCTTCGTTGAGTTCAGGAGATGAGGAGGAATCATCCTCTCCATTCGCAGACGGGAAAATTGAGGCAGTGAATGGCCCACTTCCCAGCCAGGGCCCAAACCAGTCCCTGTGCTGCCCTTGACCCAGACTGATGGGCCATGTGGTATTTGCAGGAGAGATGCAGGGCACGGTGCACAGGTTGCTGCTTGAGACCCGTCAGAGTGAGCTGAAGCCTGGCTCGGTGCTGCTGCTAAAGCAGGTATGGGGAGCTCCGAACGGGGACCTGCTCTCCAACCCTCCCACCCTGGAGAAGGCCCCTGAGTTGTCTGCCTGGCTCCCATTCTTCGGAGGTGGATGGGGATGAGGGGTTGTGCTGTGAGGGCAGGAGGGTGGGTGCAGTAAGTGGTTCTTCTCTGGCCCAGGGCTGGGGCAGAAGCGATTTGTGTGACCCTGGTGCTGAGGCCAGCAAGGGGGAGGTAGGCGGAGGACCAGGTGGCATCTGAAAGCATCTAGTGCTCCATGAGGGCTCTGACCTTCCCCCTTCCTCGGCTCCAGGTTGGAGTGTTTTCTCCTTCGCTCCGAAATCACTACCTCAACGTGACGCCCAACAACCTGGTCCATATTTACAGCCCAGATTCCGGGGATGGGAACTTCCTCAAGCCATCTCAGCCCTTCCCCAAGGTAAGAGGAGCAGGATGGAAAGGAAACTGACAGGGCCTCTTTCTGGCTGGATCTTCTGGTATCTTCCCGTCCATCACCCTGGGGAGCAGAGGCGTGAAGGGGGCCGTTGCCCTGAGGTGAAGCGATGCCTGCGGGGACGGGGCCATCTCCTCCTGTTCCTGGTGCAGCCGCCTGCCAGCCGGTACAGTAACAGGACCTGGAGTAGCTGGCTTCTCGGGGATCTGATGGCAGACTTGGGCATCGGAGAGGATAGGAGTTACCTGAGAACTAACCAGGTTGTGGGTTTCCCAGCGGGTGTGGCCCTCAGATCTGACTCAGGGTCAGATCAGCTACAGGCGGCAGCGTGGAGAACAGTGAGCCACGTATGGCCTGACGTGTGAGCCAGCCCTTGCCCTGCGTCTGCCCTCCGGGCCTCCACCTCCACTGGGTGAGGGGGCACCCGCACAGAACTCAGGTGGGGACACCCCCCTTTGGGGAACTAAAGGAGACTGGGGTTCCAGGGAGCTCCACTCCAGGATAAGAGTGCAGAGCCAGGCCTTGACTTGGCATATGGTGTCCCCTCTGTGGCCACCTCCCCCCTTCCTGGGATCCTGGGTTGTTGTCATGGCCTGGCCTGGGGGTCAGGAGACCTGGGTCATGTCCCCGCTCTGCTGGTAATTTGTAAGTGACCTTGGGCAAGTCCAAGTCCTGTCCCCACCCCTACTGTTGCTTCTTCTAAAAAGTGAATGGGTTAGACTTGATGACTTCTACTCAAGTTACACCTTTAGCTCTAACGGGCTACTTCCATTGCTCTCATCTTTCCCCTTAACCTTCCACATTTTCTCAAAATCACCCCACTTCCAAAAAATCATCCTTCTTTTTCTTTTAAATTTCAAGGTATCCACACACACTGACAAAAATTGAAATGGTACAGAATAAAGCAAAACGTGAAACTTACTCTTTTCCATTCCCATCCCCTAGGGCTAATGATAGTTAACAGCTTAATTACTAATTTCCATTACCTGCCTGTATATTAGCTAGTGTGCAGATAGTTGGTGTTTTGGGTTTTTTTAGATTTTATTTATTTATTTGACAGAGAGACACAGCGAGAGAGGGAACACAAGCAGGGGGAGTGGGAGAGGAAGAAGCAGGCTTCCCGCGGAGCAGGGAGCCCGATGTAGGGCTTGATCCCAGGACCCTGGGATCATGACCTGAGCCGAAGGCAGACACTTAACGACTGAGCCACCCAGGCGCCCCTAGTGTGCAGATTATTAAAAGCTTTTCTTCTTCTTCTTCTTCTTCTTTTTTTTTTAAGTAGGGGAGGAACAGAGAGAGAGAGAGAGAGAGAGAGAATCTTAAGCAGGCTCCATACCCAGTGCATTAGCCCAACATGGGGCCCAATCTCACAACCCCTGAGATCATGACCTGAGCTGAAATCAAGAGTTGGACGCTTAACCAACTGAGCCACCCAGGTGCCCCTCAAAGCTTATTTTTAATCCCCGGCTAAATCCTCAACATATTTCTGAATGGCCTCTTCACTCTGCTCCAGCTATATATAGATTTCCTAAAACACTAGATACCAACAGAATTAGGAAAGAAAATCGCCCAAAAAAGTTTTTTGTGTTTTTAATTATCTGCTGTTTGGGGTGTTTGGTATTTCAGCTCCCTCCCCTGGGGGACTGGCCTCTGCCACACTCCTCTGTTGTGTCTTTCCTGAACCCCTACCTATTCCTTTGAGGTTGTCTGGGTGGACATGGAACTGTCCAGAAGGATGTCAGGGGCACGGGCATTAGTAACCAGGCTCTCTGTCCCCAGAACCCAGGAAGCTTCCCTGGCAGCCTCCATCATGAGACTGCAAAGTCTGGAAAAGGCCTCAGAACAGCACGGAATGCAGAGGCAGTGGCATCCCCTGAGGAAGAACTCCCAGAAGCAGGTAAGGCAGGCAGCCCACCCAGGAGCAAAAGCGGTTCTCCTTCTATTTCCTCTTGGATAGCACAGCCAGGAGAATCTGGCTGCATCTTTTCCCTCCTTCTGTGAATCTTTGGGCCTTATAGAATCTTACAGAAATCAGATGTGGTATCTTTTCTGGCAAGGCTGTAGGCCACAGACTAATTAGCAGTGTGACCAGGGGCCACATAAAGCAAATACAGTGGGATCCACAGGTCTCCCCCGTTTCTAGACCATGTGGTTAGCCACAAGGAGGAGATGGACTGGCACCATCCTTGTACCTCACCTTGGGTCTTCCGGGGGCTGATTTCCCTATCCTGACTAAGCTCAGATACCCTTCAGGCAGTGCTGAGGAGTCAAACCTCCATGTGGTTAGAGTGGGACCAAGATACAGACCTGAGAAGCCCAAAAAAATACCTGTCAGGGTATGGCCAGCTTGTTCTTCAGGAGGCAGCATCACCCAGGTGAAGCTAGCACAGTCCAAGTCTGATCCTTAGCTTTTGGATTCCATAAATTCAACCCTGTCTGGCCCCCAAGTTCATGGGATTATGGGTAAGTGTCTCACATTAACCAAATTCACATTAGACCAATGGATAAACCACAAAGCCCATTTACTTACAGCCTATGAAAAAGTATCTACCCCTTATGCTGGAATCTTCTCTGGAATGTTGCACTCGTTCCTTATAAGTAAGCTGGCTGACAAGCCAAACCATCATCAGAAGGTTGCTGGTGGTCATGAAATAAGTGAGGAGAGTTGCCTGTAGAATATTGTGGCTGGTGTCACATCTCCATTGTAGGGACAGACTTGCCAAGCAGGTAACCACTGGACAGGGTGGTTAACTGGACCACCCTGTGACTGGACAGGGCTGGGAAACACCAATACTAGCTCTTACTCTGATTCCCAGTTTCCTAGGCCCACAATGTCTGCTCATTCGCCTTCATTTAACATCGAGTTTCCCCAAACGGTCATAGTGTAGCTAGTGAGGGGCACTTTTTTTTTTAAAGATTTATTTATTCATTTGAGGCGGGGGAGGGGCAGAGGGAATGGAAGAGAGAGGATCTCAAGCAGACTCCCTGCTGAGCACGGAGTTGAATGTGTGGCTCAATCTCAGGACCCCAAGATCATGACCTGAGCCAAAATCAAGAGTTGGACGCCCAACCGACTGAGCCACCCAGGCACCCCATCACCTTTTGCTGTTACAATCAAATTCCAGTCTTACTTCCCCAAGTATGGTGCTGGGCACCTTAATTAAATTTTGAATGCCAGCAAATGGACTTCCAGCAGCGTGTTTGTCAGGTGCTCTGTGCCAGACTGGAAGCTGGTCTCTGCAGGTGTAATGCCTAGTTCTTCTGACTCCGTGGGCTGCCTGAGCCCAGCCCTCACGCGGGACTTCTCTAGTTAGGAGCCATGACTCTGGCATCAGATGGAGCTTGAGTATGCTCCCCACGGGCAGGCTGTTTGACCTCTTTAAACTCCTTCTCTCAGATAAATTGGGGATGGCAACAGGAAGAACCATGCCCTGTAAAGGGTACTGTGAGGACTGAAAGGGACGAGTACAGCAGGTGTGGCCCTGAGCATGCGCTCAGCGAGTGGTAGCTGCTATTGTTAACAGTAATAGTACCAGCAGGGATTGCTGAGGTCAGCTCTATTTCCAAGTTCACAGACATAAGCACCCAGCTGAGAACTGCAGTCAGGGACAGTTACTTTCATTCCACACGCCCAGGAAGGCCCATCAGGGAAGGGGCTGATGTCTCGCCCTCTTCAGGTGAGAAACCAGATTAATGGATGCCATGATTCTGAATGCGTCTCATGGCTTTTCCCGGCCTTTTGTCTTCCTCTGTCCAATGAGCGCGTTGCACTAGCGGACCTCTGAAGCCTATCTGCTCAAGCGCTATGCCTCTGGATGGCAAAAGGGGTATCACCAAGGCCAAGGGGAGTGTCTTTCTTGACTGAAAGGCCCGGGCATTTTGTCCCTGTCTCTTGTGGTGTGTGCGTGTGTGGGAAGCAGAGGGAAGATGGGGGTCAGGCCCATTAGCCCAGTCACCACTGCCTGGGGGAGCTACCTCCCCAGCTGTGCAGCCAGGTCCAGGCCCCCCGAAAGGCAGGAGCTCTGGACCTGAGTCCTTTGGAACCCTAACGTTGTCACTAATTCTGTTTACCCTCTCCACGACCCCTGCAGATGACCTGGACGGACTCCTGAGTGAGCTCCCTGAGGACTTCTTCTGTGGGACCAGCAGCTGGGACTGCCCCACGGCAAGGCCCCCACCGTGAGCAGCCAGCCTCTTGGCACCCAGGTAAGGCTCTGGTTGGGTCTGATTGAGTCCCAGGGAGAGAGGAAGCCCAGCATGATGGGAGAATAAACAAAGCTCGGGACTATGGCTGCCCCTACCCAGGATGCCTTCCCTAGGAACGCCCTCGTCCCTCCGATTCTACACTGCTCTCACTTTGGGTCTTCTTTTGGCATTCCAGAACTCAGCCCAAGGATGGCCCTTCCACTCTACTGTCCTCCAAGCCCTTGGACGCAGCCGTTGTTCCTTTTCCTCCTGCCAACAGGGAAGGTGTGTCCCCCTCCGGCCTCCCCTTGACGTTAGAGGACCCCGATCCCTTTACTCCCTATTCCCTGGACAGCTGAGTCGTCACACCACAGCCGTGGCGACCTGTCCCTCTGGTCAGGGGAGGAACACTCTCAGACTTCCCTCCGCTTTGTCTCGAGAGGCCTGCAGCTGCCCAGCTCACCTGTGCTCAGGTTCCCAGGTGTGGGGGCGGGGCTGGGGCTGCATGCGGCATCTTGTTCAGAAATAAAGCAGCTGCCCACTTCACTAGCCTCCTCCTCTCCTTTCCACCCACCCCTGCTCCTTGTCCATCTGTCTTGCCGGTGGTGCTTTGGCTGGGGCGGAGCCAAGCTGCTCCTTTTCCTTTTCTCTCTCTCTCTTCATAAACTTTCCTTTTAGACAGTTTTAGATTTACAGAATTATTGCAAGATAATCCAGGGAGTTCCTATATACCCCACACCCAGTTTCCTCTGTCATTAGCCTCTTATACTAGGATGCACACTGCTTACAACTAACCAGCCAGTGTTGGGACATTACTATGAACCGAACTTCATGCTTTATTCAGATGTCTTCAGTTTCCCTGTCGTCCTTTTTCTGTTCCAGGACCCCACATTCCATTTAGTTGCCGTGCCTCCTTAGGCTCCTCTTGGCTCTGGCATTTCCTCAGGCTGTCCTCGTTTTTCATGACTCTGATAGCTGCAAAGAGTACGGGTCAGGCATATTCCAGGATGCCCTCTATTGGACTCTGTCTCCTTAAAAAAAGACGAGACCGGAGTTATGTGTTTTGCCGAGGAAGGTATATTCTCGTCACACATCAAGGGTTGATGGTGACCTGATGACCTGGCTCAAGTAGCATCTGTCAGGTTTCTCTGCTGTAAATTTGCTTCTTCTCCCTCTTCATGCTGTCCTCTTTGGAAGGAAGTCACTAGGTGCAGCCCACACTTAACAAACAAGGAGTTATGTTCCACCCTCTCTAAGGACAGAATATCTATATAGTTTATTTGGAATTCTTCCTCATTTCTTAGTCCTACATTCATATCCGTCTGGATTCATGGGTGTTGTCTTATGCGTTGGGTTGTAATCCAGTGCCACTTTACCGTGTGGCCAAGCAAGTGCTTGTCACTGTAGCTTTGCTGTGCCACCTTCCAGACCAGAGTTGGACAAGGGCCATGTGCGGGGTGTAAAAGGTGTAATTATACCAAGTCGCCAACCTTGTTTTCCTTTCTGGGATGAAGGGAAGAAAGGAATTATCCCCCAACTCGTGGTTGAGGGGGTGTGGGTTAAAGACCCTAGTCTGACCACCAGCCTCCCCTGCCTCAGCCCCAGCCTTCCCGAAGGGGCTGTGAGTCCGAGGCCGCCAATGGGCTTGGGTACTGCTCTGGGGAAGGACGCTCATCTCTTTCTTCCCAAAGAAAGCCTGACCCCCTGGATCCCCGTCTCAAAGTTGAAGTGAGTGAGTGCTGCAAGAATTCCATGTTCAGCAGGCTGTTAGTGGGGCCCTGTTCGAGAAGGCTTTTGTGTTCCAAGCCCAGGAGCAAGAAGGGGCTAATTCACTAGCAACCCTCCTACCTGAACAGGTCGTGCACTTCCATCTCTTCTACCCACTGCTAATTCCCCAGCTCTGCCGATGCAGCTCAGATCTGGGCCGCAGCCCATCTACCCTGTATGGTCTTCCTGCACCTAAACCACCCCATACCCCTGGCCCGCACAACCATTCCCCACTCAACTCCCTTGAGCCCTGATCTCTACTTCTCACAGTCCTGACCAGGGTCCTGGCCTCTTGTGTGCTTCATCACCCTACAGGCTCAGCTCCCAGAAGGCAGGGTGGGGAATCCAATCACCTAGCATTGTTCTATCACTAGACCTGGGTTCCCTGTGGGTTCGTGCGTGGGCTGGAGTAAAAGCCTCCTCTTTCTGCCCTCAGGAAGCTAAGGACAGGAGACAGAACACAGGATATCTCTGGGGACTGGGTTGTAGTCAGAGTACCTTCAGGCGCATATGACAGACAAGAAGGCTGCAGAGAGGCTGAGGAAGTCAACACAGCCTTGCACCCCACACGTCATGGCTACTGTGCGCCTCAGAAGGGGACACCCACCCCACCTTGGCCCCTCTTGGCCCCACCCAGCCTTGTCAGCTCCCAACCCTGGGAACTCAGCTGTGGGTGCTCAGCCAGGCCGTTGGCGGGGCAATTAAAACACCAAATGGGTTCCAACAGGGTTAATCACAGCTGCATTTATAGAGGCGCCTTTCTCTGAGGATCTCGAAGACCTTGCTGTGCATGATCTCATCCCTCCCTCTGGGATCCCCCACCCTGGAATACCACCAAGAAGCTGGGGCCAGAGTGGGTGAACGGCAGGGTAGGGGCAGTGCCGGAAGCGGCCCAGGCTGCTGCCACCCCCCTGGGCAGGCAGATGAGCGTTTGCTCTGGCAGAGAACAAGGGCCCTCAGTCGATGCCCTACACACGAGGGGCCAGCACGCGACGAGCCGAGCGCTCCCAAACACCACATCCAGACCTACTGTGTGCCCGGCCCTGCTGGGTTGCAGAGACCCAGCTGACTACATTCAGGTCCTGCTCCGGAGCCCACATCCAGCAGGGCGGGCTTCTGTCCACGGCACATTGGGACAGGCCCTTCACAAAGTACGTGTGCGGTCCTCCTGGAGCACCGAGGGGGGCATGGCGGGGAAGGCTGAGGGGCCGCCACGAGAATGCCACGTGCACGAGGCCCTGAGCTGAGGCGTCGGGCTTACCTGGAGAGGGATGATGTTGGAAGTCAGCAGAAGTTTTCGAGCTAGGAAATGAACCGTCTTCGACAGATCCTGCCACCTGGGCGGCAGAGCCGAGAGGCTGTGGCCAGAGAAAGGAACACCAGGAGGCTGGGCTGGTCCCGGTGAGGGGCACTGCGAGGGTGACCGACAATGTGACAATGGGAGCTGGAACTTGTTTGCGTGAGGGGACCAGGGAGAGGAAGAAGTCCGAGGTCACTGTGCACGGGCGGGTGCAGAGCCAGGGAGGGGAGGAAGTGGGGCGGGCAGGGGGGCTGGGAGAGCCGCCGCGCTGGGGGACACAGACCAGGCCGACCCGAGGGGCTGAGGGGCTGCCCGCCCGCACACTGGGTGAGGTGGGGTGGTTAGGAGAGCTTCCGAGGCCTCCCGGGGCTAGCATCCCCCGCTCCGCCCGCCCCTTCCCTTCCCGGGCTCCGCAGAGCATCAGCCAGGGCTGTTTCATGGCCTCATTCCTCCCCCTAGAGGCTCCTGGAAGCAGAGCTGCTTTCTCCTGAGAGTGAATGGGTTTGTGGCTTGAAGGTCTCTTCGGTCAGAGTCCCCAGAGTTGCCAGGTCAACCCCTCGGCCTTCCTCAGGCAGGCAGGTGAGCCCTTTTAGGAGCTCAGGGATGGAGGGACATGAGATTTGTGGCGGGCAGTTTCTAGAGGCCGCGCTGTCCTGCTAGGGGGGCGGGGAGAGGCTCTCACCCCTGGCCACCCTCAGGTGGCCACAGCAGCATGAGCCAGTGCCGCATCTATGCAGTCCGGCCAGCTGGGGTCCTAGTCCTGGCTCCGCCGCTCACAAGCTGTGACCTTGTTAAGCCTAAGTTCCTCATGGTTAAGACCGACACAAAAGCACCCATTTCAGAGGTGCTCCACTGTGATCATTAGCCTGATTGTGTACTTTATGGTCAAAACCAAGCTTTTTACCCTCAGGGAGCCAGGAAGTATGGCCCTTGGAGTGAAGACGGATATAAAAGTGATGTCCTTGGCGTAAAGCCCCGTGCACACATGCACAGTTACCCAGACTACTGCGGACACCGGAAGAGCTGTTTGGACCCGTCTCCGCCTGCCCTTACTTCCTGGGCTGGGGTCTGCCCTCCAGCCAACAGCTGAGAGGCTGGGGGCCTCTGGCTCTTCCTGTCCTGCCCATCTCCCAGATCGACTGTTTCACTCCCCTCGGACCTTGCCAACCCAAGCCGCTCCCTCCGGGCAAGTGGGAGGATGCCGACCCTGGGGTTCCTGCTGCCCCCTTGGGAGGGCATCAACAGGGCAGGGGTTGGCCTTGGCCCTGGGCTGGGGGGGGGTTGGCCCAATACCTTCTCTGCACCAGGATCATGACTCTGGGCAAATGGCGTTTACCAGGCCGGCGAAGGACCTATTTATAGCCTCAGCTGCTCCTCGGGCCGGGTCACAAGGGAGGGGCAGGGCGGCTGCTCAGAACACGGGGGGTAGGCGGGCTGGGGGAACCCGGCTCTGCCCAGCTGCCGCTGCCCAGCCCCCCCGGCGCCCCTCCCCATGGCAGAGGAGACCTTCCCATTCACCTCCTCCACGCGGCGGGCTCTCCGGCTACAGCGGGAGTGGCTGGAGTGGGAGGACCGGCGGCGGGCCGCGGCCCAGCAGTGCCGTAGCCAAAGGTGCCCCCCCAGTGCCCGGGCCCGCCTCACCAGGCCGCGCCACTGCTGCCGAGACCCAGCCGTGCACAACGCTCTGTTCTCCGGTGACCTGCGCCAGGTCCAAGCCCTGTTCCAAGAGGAAGACGCTGCCAACATGACTGTGGAGACTGTGAGCAACCAGCTGGCCTGGTCAGCTGAACAGGGTAGGGAGCACCCGGTGGGGCAGAAGAGGACGAAGGGAGAAGAGGGTGGGGGTGGGGATGGGGGAGAGATTTGGCCCCATCCCCTCCCTCCAGAACACAGACTAGACCACTGCTTTCCACACCCATTCTAGTTCCCTCCTCAGCAGAGAGGAGGCGTAGTGGTTTGTATGTCTTTTCAAAATTAAAATTATATTAACATATCAATTACATAGGAATACAGTTATATTCTAATGCAGTATTTTCTCAGAATATATATATGTAAATAAATATATACACATTTATATGTTTTTTAAAATTTTATTTTTAAGGGGCACCTGGCTGGCTCACTTGGTAGAGCATGTGACTCTTCATCTCAGGGTCGTGAGTTCAAGCCCCACACTGGGTGTGGAGCCTACTTGAAATAAAATAAAAATTAAAAATAAGTAAGATTTTATTTTCAAGTAATCTCTACACCCAGCGTGGGACTTGAACTCACAAACCTGAGATCAAGGGTCGCATGCTCCACCAACGGAGCCAGCCAGGCATCCCCACATAATATATATATTTTTTAATTTGAGAGAGAGAGTGTGTGTGTGCAGTGGGGAGGGGCAGAGGGGGAAGGAGAGAGAGAATCCCTAGAAGACTCCCCGCTGAGCGTGGAGTCCAATGTGGGACTCATCTCAGGACCCCAAGATCATGACCTGAGCCAAAATCAAGAGTGGGACACCTAACCGACTGAGCCACCCAGGCACCCTGTCCCCACAGTGCATAAATTATATTGTATGAGGGTGCCATGATTTATATAACTAGACCCCAAACAGACTGGGTAGATTGGGTTCCTTTTTTGTAAAATTAGTTTTAATAGCAATATGATGAACATCTTTGTGTACTTGCCAGATAATTTCCTTAGGCTCTATTCTGACCAGTGGGTTTGTCCACGTAAACCAAATACCTCAACTGAGATCACCCTGCTCTTAAGACTGGCAGAGATTGCCCCAAGCCCCACTCATGGATCTGGGGGCCCCAAATCCTTGGAGAGTTTACATTCTCACAGTCACTGCAAGCTCCAGGTTCCTGCTGGGCTTTAACTCTTAGAGATATAACCCTACCCAAGGTATTTTGGTCTTGTCCTGCAGTATGTCTATCATCCCCCAAATGGAACTTGGCCTTAATTTCAATCCTAATACAAAACAAAACATGCTTTACCCAAAATTTGACAAACCCAGGAATTTACTTCACCATAATACAAACAACTTAAACAGTTAGATATTAGGCATCTATATTCTTTATTTTTTTAATTTTTTTTTTTTAAGATTTTATTTATTTGGGGGCACCTAGGTGGCTCAGTCGTTAAGCGTCTGCCTTCGGCTCAGGTCATGATCCTAGGGTCCTGGGATCGAGCCCCGCATCGGGCTCCCTGCTCACGGGAAGCCTGCTTCTCCCTCTCCCACTCCCCCTGCTTGTGTTCCCTCTCTCGCTGTGTCTCTCTCTGTTAAACAAATAAAATCTTTAAAAAAAAAAAAAAAAAAAAAGGCAGACGCTTAACGACTGAGCCACCCAGGCGCCCCTAGGCATCCATATTCTTTAAACAAGTCCTTGGCCACTTCTACAATTTAGATCCGACACTAGTCACAAGATCAGCCACTCACCCAACTCTTCCTTTCCCCACCCCCACCTCTTATTCTCCCCTCCACCTTTCCCCCACTTTCACCCTCCTCTCCCCCATCTGCCCCAGGAATATCCTAGAACTCCAAGCTAGGCTCCTTGGTCATTCCCAAGCTCAGCTCCAGGCCCTCCTATGCATAACTCAAACCCACCCCCAACACCAGAACACCCTAGTGAACAAGAACCAAGGAATCCATGAGGAGCTCAAAGACCCAGAGGTTTCCTTAACAGGATTAACTCTCTTCAGTTGCCCTTGTGATTTTAAAGAGCAATTACCTTTTTTTTCTTCTATGACATACATACTGTTTTGTTACAGATTGACAAACCATTCTAAAAGGCTATTCCAGGGGTGCCTGGGTGGCTCAGTCGGTTAAGCGTCTGCCTTCAGCTCAGGTCATGATCCCAGGGTCGTGGGATCGAGCACCCGCATTTCTCCCTCTCCGTCTGCCTGCTGCTCACCCTGCTTGTGCTCTCTCTCAAATAAATGAAATCTTTAAATAAATAAATAAATAAAAGGCTGTTCCAATATACACTCCAAGTTCAGGGCTTGATTGCTTAGCCCCTCCCCATAGTTACAGCCTGGCACATGATTCGTGCTCAGGCCAAGGGTGCAGAGGGACGGCCATGGTCAGGGCCTGCCCTGGGAGTCTCACACACCACTCCCCAACCCTACCTGCTCTCCCCAGGGTTCTGGGTGCTGACCCCCAAGACGAAGCAGACGGTGCCCCTCACCATCGCTGCTGCCCAAGGCTACACTGACTGCGCCCGCCACCTGATCCGGCAGGGAGCTGAGCTGGATGCCCGGGTTGGGGGCCGGGCAGCCTTGCATGAGGCCTGTGCCCAGGCCCAGTCTGACTGTGTGCAGCTGCTGCTGACCTTTGGTGCCAAGGCCAACGTGTTGTCCGAGGAGGGCACGACCCCCTTACACCTCTGCACAGCCCCTGAGTCCTTGAAGTAGGTACCCAGGGGAGGGGTGTGTGTGTGTGTGTGACTCCAGCTGACACGGCCAGGAGAAGGGGAGAAGCACCTCACATACACACATCCTCATGACAATCTAGGAGACAGGTCTCATTCCACTGGTGAGAAAACTGAAGCTCGGAAAGGTTTAGGGACTTGTCCAAGGTCATATAAGCTAAGCCCAGGAGGCAGAAGCCTTGTTGCCTTTTTGGAAAACCCTGTTCCAACTGCAGTCCCCTATCCCCTGTGAATCCTCTGTAGCCAAATTCCTACCTGTTTCGAGGTGGGCATCAAGAAAGATGTAGCCCTTGGGCGCCTGGGTGGCTCAGTTGGTTAAGCGACTGCCTTCGGCTCAGGTCATGATCCTGGAGTCCCGGGATGGAGTCCCGCATCGGGCTCCCTGCTCGGTGGGGAGTCTGCTTCTCCCTCTGACCCTCCCCCCTCTCATGTGCTCTCTCTCTCCTCTCATCCTCTCTCTCAAATAAATAAATAAAATCTTAAAAAAAAAAAAAAAGACGTAGCCCAGTGTTTCCCAGCCTTAGTACAAGGCCTCCCCCCACACCCCCCCTCCCACATTTTTAAGATCAACAGGTTTTTTGGGGGGGGGTGGAAGGTTGAGCAAAATGGGCGAAGGGGAGTGGGAGATACAGGTTTCCAATTATGGAATGGGTAAGGCTCAGGAATAAAAGGTTCAGCATAAGGAATATAGTCAATGATACTGTGATGGCGATGTAACAGGACACGCGGTAGTTACACTTGCGAACATGGCATAATGTATAAACTTGTCAAGTCACTAGGTCCTGCACTTGATACTAATGTAACATTGTGTGTCAACTATACTTAAAAAAACAACAGGTTTTTCGACCCCCTGCCTGATGGTATTTGTACTTTTACAAATCAGGTCCACAGCCGGGGCTGGCCGTGGTGAGGACACTCCACAGCCCACATGCTGGGACTTCTCCCTAGCTGGATCTAGAGCAGTGATGGACCCAGAAGTGATTTTGATTTTCCAGCCCTTTCTTGAATTCTTACGAGCACACAGTGTGCTTTCCAAAAGACTATCCTTTTAAGTGAAACTTACTGAAACCCTACTGAATGAGCTTTTCAGGGTTATTTAAATGTAGTATTTAGAAACAAAACTTAGGGGCACCTGGGTGGCTCAGTCCTTGAGCGTCTGCCTTCGGCTCAGGTCATGATCCCAGGGTCCCGGGATCGAGCCCCGCATCGGGCTCCCTGCTCGGCTGGAAGCCTGCTTCTCCCTCCCCCACTCCCCCTGCTTGTGTTCCTACTCTCACTGTCTCTCTCTGTCAAATAAATAAAATATTAAAAAAAGAAAGAAAGAAAAAGAAACAAAACTTAGCCCATGATTAGAATTGGCTGAGGAAAAAATTCAGCAGTTTATAGATGGCTGGCTGCTACTGCATTTTTGGCCACTGAGCCAAGCACCTACTGGACCTATACACTGAAAGGAACAGAAATTCTGGCCATTTTGGGGGAGGGACACTGGGTCATCAGGGTTTCGTCGGGGTTGCTGTGTCTACTCCTGAGCTTCCAGTGGCTGCCATTCTGGCTTTTTAATTATAAATGACTCTTAGTTTAATTACATCATTAATTTTGTTTCATATTTGGTTTACCCCCTGGTGGTTAATGATGCATATTTGCCTCAACAGTGTTCTGGCCTATAGTTTTTTGTTTGTTTGTTTTTTAGAGAGAGAGCATGCAGGCCCATGAGATTGGGCGGGGGGAGGACAGGGAGAGGGAGAGGGGCAGGGGGAGAGAGAGAATCTTAAGCAGCCTCCACACCCAGCACTGAGCCGGCTCAGTCTCACAACCCTGAGATCATGACCTGAGCCAAAATCAAGAGCCAGACGCTTAACCCACAGAGCCACCCAGGTGCCCCATGCTCTGGCCTATAGTTTTTCCAGGAACTAGGAGACCATGATACAGGTGCTCCCTAAAATCTAGTTTTTGTTGTTTGGTTCCATTTGTTTTCTCTAGGGGAAACGAGCAGACTGATCCTCAAATGCCTTCCTTTGCTTGAATGGGTATCACTGGTCTGGAAGGGTGGTCTTCAAGTTTGGCAGCATGAAGAAAATATTAGGACTTCTATGCCTTTTTCTTTCCAGCTCATATTCTAATTTTCTATGTGTAACATTCATAGTGGACACAGTAGTGGGTTTTCAAGTTTTTTGCATTATCAAAATGTTAGCAGACCACTGGCAAGTGATTCAGAACTAGGCCTTGAGGTCTCAGTCCACTCTGGGAGTCAGGTTTTGGAAACAAAAAATTAGCCCATGATTGGAACTTACCGAGGAAATAAACAGATTCTGGGAGGGACCGTCTGAGGCAGTGAGTACCCATTCTGACGCAGCCTCTGACTTGCTGTGTGTCCTTGGCTGTCCTTCCTCGGTCGAGTTTTCCGTCACTGAAGATGCTCCTGGGGACATCATGGGCCTCGCGACTCTGCTGTCGGTCATCGGGCTTCTGTGAGTCTGATGGTGGACGCCAGGCTCGCCTCGATGGCGTGCCGGGTGGGAAGAAACGGGGAAGGGGATGACAGCCGGCCAGGCCGTGGGCCCTCAGGATCGGTCTCTGGGCCTTGCGCCTTGCCCCCCAGGTGCGCCAAGCTGCTGCTGGAGGCGGGAGCGGCCGTGAACGTGGCGGCGCGGGACAGCGAGGTGACGCCCCTGCACGTGGCGGCGGCCCGCGGCCTGGACGAGCACGTGGCGCTCTACCTGGAGCACGGAGCCCACGTGTACCTGCGCGCCAGCCAGGGCGAGACGGCCCTGAACGCGGCGTGCGCGGGGGCCGAGGGCCCAGGCAACGGCGGGCGGCACCGGGCGGCAGCGCGCCGGCTCCTAGCGGCCGGGGCTGATGCCCGCGCTGCCGGCCGCCAGCGCCACACGCCGCTGCACGACGCCCGTGCCAACGGCTGCGGGGCCCTGGCCGAGGGGCTGCTGCGCCACGGCGCCTGCGCTCGAGTGCCCAACGCGGCGGGCCACGCCCCCCTGGACTGCGCGCTGCTGGCCGTGCAGGGCGCCCCGGCTGGGAGCCCGAGGGCCTCTTGGCCGCGCTGCTGGACTACGCGGCCCAGCCTGTGCGCCCTGGGGTGCGCGGGGAGGGCCTGCGGAAGGAGGCCCCAGTTGAGCGGGGGAGCCTGAGGCTGGAATTGCCCTGCCGCCGGGGAAGGTGGGCGTAGGGGGTAGGGGGTGGGGGGCAAGAGACTAAAAGCCCGGTCCTGTAGCCAAAGGTCTGTCCTCACCTTGGGAAGGACCACTGAGGGCTATGGGGGAGCGTGTGGAAGGACAAAAGAGCTCCCAAGGAAACTGGCCAGGGCCAAGAGGTTGCAGCCCACAGAAGTTGGGGTAAACTGAGGCATAGGAAAGAGGAGAGACTCAGACCTTAGCCTCCCAACTTTGGGTGTGAGTGGGGCTTTGGCTTAGGCTGGACTTGGTTCTGCCCTTGGTTGGGAGAGCCATGGTGACCCTAACACCCTCTTTTGATTCCTAGATGCTGAAACACTGTGCCAACTTCCCTCGGGCCCTGGAAGTCCTGCTTAACGCCTACCCTTGTGTCCCCTCCTGTGATACCTGGGTGGAGGCAGTACTCCCAGAGCTGTGGCAGGTATGTCCACCCCAGGGCACAGCTCCTTCCTGGGCTCTGGGGGAGATGGAGAGAAAGGATGAGCCCTAGGCCTTATCCCTGCAGGATGGGCTCCCCTCCCTCCCCCGGGGTCTCCTGCCGCCTAGCAGCTCAGAACACCCTCTAATCCCACACACCTCTCCAGCCTCTCTCACTGGTACCAGCATGGACATTAATCAGGTATCCCTGACTCAGCGGGCACTGTGTCCGCATCTTTGGAGTGGTGGGTGCAGACATGGCCGAGACCCTGCCCTACAGTGTGGTCCCATCTCCCATGACCCCTGCCGGGCCTCTGGGTTCTGAATCTGAGTCTTTCAAGCTTCACCAGACACCCGGGTAGGGGCATATTGCAAATTCCCTGGGGCCCCCAGTGCTAGGTCATCCCCAGATGGAAGGGCAGGATCAAGGGTGCTGGGCCATCTGATCCTGTTCTACTCCTGGCTTAGGAGCACGAAGCCTTCTACATCTCAGCCCTGAGCATGGTGAACCAGCCGAGGCGGCTGCAGCACCTGGCCCGGCTGGCTGTGCGTGCTCAGCTGGGTAGCCGCTGCCGACAGGCCGCTGCTCGCCTCCCGCTGCCCCCGGTCCTCAGGGACTACCTGCTGCTGTGTGTGGAGGGGCGGATCCAGTGAGCCCCATGCCAGGGTGCTCCCGGAGCTGGTTCTGCCCCCTCCATCGGTCGTCTCCCTACAACCCTGGAGGACCAATCCCTGGCTCTCTTGCCCTCCCCAGCCGGCTCCCCCCTTCACTGGCTTCTTGAGCTACTCACTGACCTCCCGCCCGACCCGAGCTGCAGCTTCCAATGGGAAGGTCTGCACACTGAGCCTTCACCCGCCTCCGTCTCCTTTGCTTAAGTGGATGGCCCCTCCAGCCCAAGCCACGTGGGGGTGATCCTTGTTGCTCCTCCGTCCCTTGCCACCTATGTACCTGTTTGGCCTCCTAAAGAGTGACCGACTCCGTCTATACCTGCACTGCCTCTGCCCAAACTGTCTTTGTTGCTTGAAGGGAGGACCTCCCTGCTTGGTCTTGAAACCCGAGTCCCACAAGGATGCCAGAGCCCCTTCGGGAATCACAACTCTGATCATGCCCTTCGGTGGCTCCTCACCACCTTCAGGCTAAAATCTGAATTCAGTAAATAGACAGATCTTCTACCCCCGCCTCCGCCAAGCTCTCTGGTCTTCTGATTCCCCCTTCCCCCTCTGAGGTTCCTGTAATCCAGCCTCCTCAAACTGGGCAGCCTTGCGGCTTGCTGGATATGACCTGCTCCGCTTTGCTTCTAGGCGTTCTGCATGTGCTGTTCCCTCTGCCTGGTCTACCCACCAGTGATGCATGATGTCTTAAACATGGTCACTCCACTTGTGGTCTCTAAGGGCCTGTGACAGGAGGACAAGCCACTAGCTGTCCCCCCCCCCCCTCACTTCCTCCTCTGGTCCCAGAGTCAAAAGTACCATCCTTCATCTTTAAGAACCTTTTACGCCAAGCCAGTTTTTGTGAATGCAAATAAATGATGTGTGCCCAGAGCCCAAGCGTGTATGTGTTAGGTTGGCATGCGGCTGACATACCCCTCACTCCATGTTTATCGCCCCACCACGGAGCACCTATTACTCTTGTGATAGGAAAAAGGGTAAAGGAACAACAGAAGGCCGTTGCCAGACCCCAAGCTTGTAGTACCCACCGCAGGAGGGTCCTTTTGCTGAGGGACCCTGGGCTGTCCACTGCCATTACCATTTGGAATCAACACAGTAGAGATGGGTCAGGAGTCCCGGGGTCGGCCTCCTGCAGCTGTTGCCAGCCTCCTCGCCTCTGTGGAGAGTTGTATCTGCGGAGATTCCCTTTCACCAACACGAAGACAATTTCGTACCTTGTTATGCAGAGCAGCAACCTCTCCTTTCTGGAAGACATGTTGGCTTTCATTTCGTAGAGCCAAAAGGCGGGAGGGAAGAGAAGGAGACCCTCTGTACTCCTGGGCCCAAGCTGACAGCCTCACTCTCGGGGGAGGATGTTGAGCTGTCCACCCCTTTACAGGAGGCAAACGCCAGCGAGCTTAGCCTTTTCTGTTGCATTTACACCTATGACAAAAAAAACCCACTTAGAAAAAAAACCCCAAAAGATACATGAGATTATGTGTATTATTTGGGGGTAGGAGATTTTCCAGGGTGAAAGCAGAAAAGATGAATAAATCTGGATACAGAAACAATTTAAATTTGGTTATAAAAGCACCAAATTATAAACACAAGTGACAGACAAAGTATTGGGGGATTTCATTTCTGGACGCCTGGTGGCTCATTGGTTAAGCGACTGCCTTCGGCTCGGGTCGTGATCCTGGAGTCCTGGGATCGAGTCCCGCATCGGGCTCCCTGTGCTCAGTGGGGAGTCTGCTTCTCCCTCTGACCCTCTCCCCTCTCATGCTCTCTCTCACTCTCTCTCACATAAAGAAGTAAAATCTTTTAAAAAAATAAAAGATTTCATCGCCTTCATCTGTGTTATTCGCCACTGGTGACTTGCTGCTTTGCAGAGAGTGGACACTCAGATAACTGCGGAATCAACGAATCAACCTCACCAGCCATCAGGGAAAATGCAAATCAAAGCAATCATCAGGTACTGTTCCCCCACCAGATAGAGGGAAATTGTAAAGATCAATAATAGGCAGTACCCATGAAGATCTGAAGATGTAAGTAAATTCTTGCTCATCCTATTGGTGGGAAAGGAAATTGCTTTTTTGGTAGGCAATTTGGCAGCACCCTTAAACACTTCTCTCCGGTTACATAAAATGCTGGTACACACGGAACATTCACCCCAGCACTGCTTGCAACGACGCAACACGTGGGAGGTGGTGGACAAATCCTTACTCTGGAATACAATGCAGCCCTTACAAAGGGTAGTCCCTGCAATGGGAAGGAACTAGGGAGGCATGCCGAGTGACCGTTGTAGGCATGGCCTTGGAAAGATTGCCAAGACTGTTGTTGAAGAGAAAAAACAGGTTGGAATACAATATGTACAGCCAACAAGGCCAAACCCCATGATTGTAGATGAAGAGAAAAAGGCCCAGAGGCAGGTGCCCAAGAATTGTCCTCTGGGGAGGGGAGAACGACTGTGCCAGGGGGGCGTTTTATGGTCTGTATTTGAAATTTAAAAAAAATTTCAACCCCACTGTTTTTTTTTTTTTTAAGTTTTTATTTCCCCATATTTAAATTTTTTTTACAAAGAGATACCCATGGATTCTTGTGAAATTAATTTTTTTTTGAGGATGTGAAGTAAATTTAATCACCACCCTCAGACAGCAGAAGTGTCTAAGTGGCGGCCCTCCCCCCACCCCCCAGGAGTGGCCTGGGTAAGCATTTTTTTTTTTTTTTTAAGATTTTATTTGTGGGGCACCTCGGTGGCTCAGTTGGTTAAGCGACTGCCTTCGGCTCAGGTCATGATCCTGGAGTCCCGGGATCAAGTCCCACATCAGGCTCCCTGCTCGGTGTAAGAAAAGCAAACATCTCAAGAACTCTATCATGAGGGGCACCTGGGTGGCTCAGTCGTTAAGTGTCTGCCTTTGGCTCGGGTCATGATCCCAGGGTCCTGGGATCGAGCCCCGCATTGGGCTCCCTTCTCCGCGGGAGGCCTGCTTCTCCCTCTCCCTTACTTGTGTTCCCTCTCTCGCTGTTTCTCTCTCTGTCAAATAAATAAAATCTTAAAAAAAAAAAAAACAACTCTATCATGAAAAATGTCCAAGGAGTTCAGATCCATTCAAATACAGTTATGGGGCACCTGGGTGGCTCGGTCGGTCAAGGGTCTGGCTAGGCTTTGGCTCAGATGGTGATCTTCCATCGTGAGATCGAGCCCCACGTCGGGGTCCGCACTCAGCGGGGAGTCTGCTTGGGATTCTCTCTCTCCCTCTGCTCCTCCCCACCCCCCTTAAATAAATAAATAAATCTTTTAAAACAAAGCAACACAAACACCACAATGCAGTTTGCTAAGTGTTCTGGCAGAAGTCAGTCCATGCAGCTTGGGAAACAGACTGTAGGTACTGAACCCCAGACAGATGAATCAGGTACCCGGAGCAGTGAAAAAGCCAGATTTGCCGGCTCCTGGGCAGGGCAGGCCTGGCCACGGGCTCCACCCTCCTGGGCTTCAGAGGTCACTGCTCATTTATTCCCTTCTCAGATTTCACTTCCCCTCTTTTCCTCCACTCTTTTCTCCTTATAACATCTTATGAACATCTTTAGGACCTCCCCCCATTTATTCCCTGTTCTCTCTCGCCTCCAGCCTGTTTTTTGGAAGAGAAACAGTAGTAGGTGCCTACTCACGCTGCTGTGGGAACAGAAATAGGCACACCCTTCTGGAGGACGGTGTATCAAAAACCTGAACAATGTGAACACCCTTTGATCCAGCAATCCCATTTTCAGGAATTTATCCTAGGGAAAACATCATGGATGTGTACAAAAATCTGTCATCAGAGATGCACAAAGATGTTTATGCAAACACTGTTTAAAAACAAAGTACTGAAAACAATCTCAATGTCCATCCAAATGAGATAATTAGCTGAAAAATTATGGTGCACCACGGAAGATGATACTGTTGAGCAGCTATTTAAAGCTATGCTGTGATGCTATAAAAATATTCAATGACACAGGAAAAGCTTCATGGTATATAGTTGAGTGAAGAAAGGAGGGGGCCAAATATTGACAATAAGATCATATATATACAGAGAGAGAGAATGAGAAAGCGAGTTCAAGCGCAAGCACTAGATGACTTTAGCTATAGCACTAATGGCGTAATTTGGACAATTATTTATCCTCTGTGAGCCTGTTTCCAAACCTATAAAATGGGTATTTTAAGAGCTACTTGACAGGGCTCTGTAAGATAATGTATATGAAGTACTTAGCACAGTACCTGGCACATAATAAACTTTCAAAAGCTTTAACAGTGGCTCAGCTCATTGATTTATTCATTCCCTCAAGTATTTATTGAGAGCCCTTGAACTTGCTACTCTCTCTGGAACTTTGCTTGGTAAACCTCAATTCATTCTTCAAAACTCTGTTTAACTGTACTGTGATGCCCTACCCCTCCTGCATTTTTCAAAATAAAAACACTAAATTTTAGACCCCCAAAATACATGTATGCAGAAATTAAAACAATACCTTTCATTTCACAAACATACAGTTCATCAAAAGAAGCCAGACAAAAGAATTGGAAGCAGGGACTCAGATACTTGCACATCAATGTTCATAGCAGTACTATTCACAATAGCCACGAGGTGGAAACAACACAAATGTCCATTAATAGATGAGTGGATGAAGAAAATGTGCTATATACATACAATGGAATATTATTCAGCCTAAAAAAAGGAATACAATTTTGATAGGCTCTACAACATGGATGATCCTTGAAAACATCATTAAGTGAAATAAGCCAGATACAAAGAAGGCAAATATTGTATGATTCCACTTATATGAGATACCCGGAATAGGAAAATTCATAGAAAGTAGAATGGAGGTGGGAAGAAGGCATGGGTATAGGAAATGGATAGCCGTGATGGGTGCACAAAATTACGAATGTATTTTTTAAAAAATATCTTGTTTATTTGAGAGAGAGAGAGAACACGAGCAGAGGGGAGGGGCAGAAGCAGAGGGAGGAGAAGCAGACTCCCTGCTAAGCAGGGATTCCCAATGCGAGGCTTGATCCCAGGACCTTGAGATCATGATCCGAGTTGAAGGCAGACGCTTCACCCACTGAGCCACCCAGGTGCCCATGAATGTACTTAATGCCACTGAATTAGCCACTTAAAATGGTTAATTTATGTGTATTTCACAATAAGACTTGGAAAAAAGAATAAGAAGACAGACGGCTTGATTCCATTTATACAAAGTACAAAAACAGAGAAAACTAATCTATGGTAACAGAAGTCATAATAGTGTCTACTCTGTAAGTTAGTGGCTGGAAGAGGACATGAAGGGGGACTTTGGGGTCATTTTCTATTTCTTTATCTGAGTGCTGGTTCCATTGATATGTTCAGTTGGTGAAAACAACCGAACCCTTCACTTGTGAGTTTGCCTCGTCTGCCTTTTTCATGCTTCAATCAAAAGTTCACCAGAAAACAACAAAAATCCTAACATATCTTTTGAAAAAAGAATTTTTTTTAAGATTTATTTCTTTATTTTAGAGAGAGAGAGAGTGCAGGAGGTAGAGGCGAGGGAGAGGGAGAGAGTACCAAGTGGACTCCTCGCTAAGCCTGGAGCCCCTGGGTGGGGAGGCTCGATCTCACTAACCCTAACCCTGAGATCACGACGTGAGCTGAAATCAAGAGCCCGATGCTAAACGGACTGAGCCACACAGGGGCGGCTCCCCCAAAATCTTTTAAGTAATCTCTAGGACGAGCGTGGGGCTCGAACTCACCACCTGGACTGAGCCAGCCAGGCCCCCTGAAAGAATTTTAATTGCAAAAATCCGGCTAAGTTTTTGGGAGCTGAACTTTTTCCCTCTCTTCTTCTGGGCTCCTTTTCTTGTGCCTTAAGCCTGCACTGAATCCTTCTTTGAAAGGCTTTCTGTCTGACCTTACTTACCAAGGTCCCACACTGGCTGGGGCCGCATTCTCGGGAGCACCCGGACGGTAACTAAATTGCCTCCTGTCTCCTGACTAGCCCTGAGTTGAACTTTTGGAGGTCAAAGAGACCAGTTCCTACTGATCCCGCTCAATGCGCGTTACAGAGCAGTAATAAATCCAATCAGCTCTGGAGGCTGGGAACAAGGCCGGAAGAACAAGCCGGTACGAGGGAAACGCCGCTCACGTTCTGCCCAGCTCGGCCCGCACGCCGGTCTTCCAGAGGTGAAGCCACGCCTTCTCCCAAGCACCTCCCCCAACCCCATGTAGTCCCGCCCTCACCCATGGGCCGCTTAGGCCCCGCCCAGTGAGCGTGGCCCCGCCCCCGGAGGGCGACGATCCCGCCAACAATAACTCCGCCCCTCCTTCCGCTGAGAAACCTGTCCCTTTTAAAGAACACGTTTACGTCAGCCCGCCTTACGTAGACTAACGTCATCGGTGCAGAGCGCGGAGGCGGGACTTCCTGTCTGATTCAAACAGCTTCCGGGAGAAGCCGGAAGAGACGAGACCCTGGACAGAATCGGGGATAGCCAGCCCCTCCCCCGGCCCCTACGGAAAGGTGAGTCCATGGGCCGTCGTGGCGAAGTCAAAATACTTAGTCTGGCCGTTTCAGGTGAGGATCTCCTTCCCTATCCAGGCACAGTACCGGTCCAATCCCCCTTAATTTCCCATGACTCCCCGCGTACGCAAGCCCCGCCCCCACGTCCCCAGCCCCGCCCCGAAGTTTGAGGGGTGTGGATGGTTTGTGACCCCCCTCACCGGACTCTATCCCTATGGGCTGGGAGAACTGAGCTTGGCCGCCAGGGACCAGGTAGCGTTTCGTCTCGGGTGGGCCCACCGACTCCTCTCCAGCGCCGCGGGAATAGGGCCGCCCCACGCGGAGCCTTCGCCTCAGAAAAGGCAGGGTCGGGACCCCTCCTCACCGCGCGTCAGGGTCGCCCACAGACTGAGGAGACACCAAAGGCCTCTGAGGCGGGAGACCAGGGGTCCTGCCCGGCCCCTGCCCACGAAAGTGCCCTGTGTCTGTGCCAGTCGTTTTCGCTTCTGTCAGCCGCAGTTTCCTTGTCTGTGGATTAGGGTGGGTGACATTAACCATCCTTACCATTAGGGGCTAGTTGTGGGAGCGATAAGTAATTGCTACCATTTATTTACTGAACCATTGCAATGTGCCAGACACTGTGCTAAGTATTTTGCTTCGATGATTTCCCGTCACCGTCAAAACAACCTTATGAGGTAGGTACTATTTTTAACCCCATTTTACTGATGAGAAAGCTGAGGCTCTGAGAAAGTTGTCCGAGCTTACAGAGCTAGTAAGGGGCAAGACCAGGATTATAATCAGGTTTTTTGTTTTTTGTTTTTTACTCCAGGGCCCATGTTCTAAATAAGGATGTGGAAGCTATTCAGATGTTGATATGTTCCACGAATATTCTTTGAGCAGCTAGTATGGCATTATGCTGGGCACTAGGGTACATAGAAAAATACACGTGATCCTTGTCTTCCAGAAGTCTCGTAGAGAAAGATGGACAGGTGGAAGAGTATAATGAAGTTTTATAGGTATTGTGAGAGTAGTCTGTTAATGATAATCATCTGATTGGATTTGCCCCGGGGACAGCTGTGAAAGCCACACATTCTCCGAGGGAAAGAGTAGGTACTCTAAGGTCCTTCCTGCCTTTCTAAGAAACTGCCAAGGGAGAAACTACACAGTACACGAAGAGAGATAGGGATATGGATTATGAGAGCTATTTTGGAATCTTTTCCAAATCCTTTCCACTTAGTGTTTTTGCAGTTGCGAACCTATGGTGACCCAGGAGGGCGGTGTTTCTGGTGTCTGTCCTCCTTAGCTCCCTGGGACTTGTCAGAAGAGTTTCAGAGGTGGCAGACACGGTCCCTGCTGCATAAGGTCTGCTGATGGCCCCTACAGATGTGTCCCTTTGGGGTGGTCTGACTGTGCTTCTGATGAAAAATTAATTTTTTGGTTCTTGACATCTGAACCTGAAAACGTGACCGTGAATGAGGTAGGGTTCAAACGGGACAGTCTGGCAAGAGTGGCTGCACTATGCATCCAGAAGGCCCTAAAATAAAATATTTTGGGCTTTTTGGTCTCTCTCAAGCCACCTTGGAGGCTTCTCAGGGGGGCATAGCTGCTAGAGCAAGTGATAGAAATCCTAGAGAAACTCAGGGCTCAAAGAAGCAAATGTTTTTTCTTTTCCCACCTACAAGCAACAGCCAGTGGCAGCAACAGTCGCCCCAACAAGGCCATGAGATTTTCCTGATGATCCATGCTCTTTGGGAGCTCGAAATGTGAGAGAGGAAGGATGTGGAACCTGAAAGCTAGTGTTTCACAATAGAGGCAAAGGGTAAGTCCTTAGCTTTAGGTTAGGGGTCCAGAGGTAGGAAGGTTTGTTCCCTCTTCCATAGGACACTGACCTCCATTTTCTTTCAGGGCTGAGTCAGTTAGGACCGAAACAAACTAGGAACCCGGTTGCAACCCCACGTACCCTGCTGATGCTATCCCCCTTTGTTCCTGCAGTGTCGACCCAGTCAGCAGCCAGGCCATGGAGTTCTCTGATGTCACCCTCATTGAGGGTGTGGGTAATGAGGTGACTGTGCTGGCAGGTGTGGTGGTGCTGATTCTAGCCTTGGTCCTAGCTTGGCTCTCTACCTACGTAGCAGACAGCGGTAGCAACCAGCTCCTGGGCACCATTGTGTCAGCTGGAGACACATCCGTCCTCCACCTGGGGCATGTGGACCATCTAGTGGCAGGCCAAGGCACCCCAGAGCCAACCGAACTCCCCCGTCCATCCGAGGGTAATGATGAGAAGGCTGAAGAGGCTGGCGAAGGTGGGGGAGACTCCACAGGGGAGCCTGGAGCTGGGGGTGGTATTGAGCCGAGCCTTGAGCATCTGCTTGACATCCAAGGCCTTCCCAAAAGACAAGCAGGCCCAGAAAGCAGCAGTCCAGAGGCCCCTCTGAGATCTGAGGATAGCAGCTGCCTCCCTCCCAGCCCTGGCCTCATCAGTGTGCGGCTCAAATTCCTCAATGACACCGAGGAGCTGGCTGTGGCCAGGCCGGAGGATACTGTGGGTGCCCTGAAGAGGTGAGTGGACTGGAGAGTGGGAGGCTGCTCATACCCCATGCCCTCAGCCCTTGGTCACCTGAGAGGAGGCTGGTATCCACCTGGGAGCGGCAGGGATGTATCAGGTCCAGCCCCCACTAGGGGTGGGTGGGATACTTCTTAGAAACTCACCCTTCAGTTCTTCCCTCATTGCCCCGTTTTGTTGGTCCAGGCCTGTTTGCCTTCTCATTCGTCGCCTTCTGTCTTTCCTTCTATCCTTTCATCCTTCCAGTAAGTACTTCCCTGGACAAGAAAGCCAGATGAAACTGATCTACCAGGGCCGCCTACTGCAGGACCCGGCCCGCACACTGCGTTCCCTGAACATTACCGACAACTGTGTGATTCACTGCCACCGCTCACCCCCAGGGTCGGCTGTTCCAGGCCCTTCAGCCTCCCTGGCTCCCTCTTCAGCCACTGAACCCCCCAGCCTCGGCGTCAGTGTGGGCAGCCTCATGGTGCCTGTGTTTGTGGTGCTGTTGGGTGTGGTCTGGTACTTCCGTATCAATTACCGCCAGTTCTTCACAGCACCTGCCACGGTCTCCCTGGTGGGGGTCACTGTCTTCTTCAGCTTCCTAGTATTTGGGATGTATGGACGATAAGGACATAGAGAGAAAATGAAAGGCATGGTCTTCCTCCTTTATGGCCTCCCTCCTTTCCTGGCCGGAGCTGGGCCCAAGGGCTTGGGAGGGACGGGTGGAAAGGATGTGGCAGGTCCTCCTCCATAGGACATAGGAGGCAGGTACAGGGCCTCCCCTTCACGTCCACAAGGGTACAGACGTCCCATCTCTGTGCAAGCACAACTCAGGTAGAAACGAGGATGTCATCTTCCTTCCCTTTTAGGGTCCTAAAGTTCAGAGCTGAGCTGGTAGCCCAGCTCAGTGGGGAGCCTGGGCTCCGTCCTCCCAGCTGTGGCCCTAGCTCTTTCCATTGTCCTGCATGTCTGCTCCTCGGTACCCAGGGCCGCCTGCCAGGGCAGCTCAGCATGGCCCCAGCATACTTCTGTAGGGAGCCTGAGTATTTTTCTGTTTCTTAAGGGAATATCCATCTTTTGAGACTAAAGTCACGCAGCAGGAGTGAAGGTCGCGTCTGCTTTCCATATAGGCACCTAGCCGCCTCTACCTTCTCCCTCCACCCCTGTAGCAGGAATAGGGTGTTCTCTGTGTTCTGGATAGTTTCCAGTGTTCTCCCCTTTTTTGAAAGCACTTTGCTTTTTTTTTTTTTTTTTTTTAATAGTCCTTTATAGAGCTCAGTCAGAAAGGGGATTGGGGCACAAAGCCAAGCCCCCAGCATTGGGAGAGGCCAAGCCACAGCTGCTGCTGCCCTAGGCCTACGGCTGTAAGCGAGAGACAGTTCTGGCCCTCAGCCAGTGTCCTGCCCTGCCCAGCTCCAAGGACGAGCTCTGGGTATGGAGCCCTGGGCCCCAGGCCCTTGCCTCTGGGGTTCTTGGATGGAGGGTCAGTGTCTGTGACTAAATAAAGTTCCATTTTGTGGCTGTGGAGCCGCCTCCTGTGACATTAAGAGAATGGCTTTGCTCTGCCCCCGTCAACATGGTAATGAGGGTGGGTAGGCCGGGCTACCAACGGGAGATGCAGTTTATTTACACCAGCAGCCATGGGGGCAGGGGAAATACACAGCGTTTACAAAGTTAGCTACCTGTACAGGATGGATTACATATGCAAAAATAAAAATCTCAAGACCACAGGACAGCGTGAGCCCCTCCCCCCTCCCCCAATGACCCCAGCATGCGGTAATGCCAGGCGGGTGGCCCCTGGGCATGCGGGGGGGAGTGATGCATGGAAGGAAAAGCCACCGGCCATGGAAATTAGTACAGAACCCCCCCACACACACTCAGACATATGATAGGATACAGGGTGGACGACACCTAGCCGGGGTGGGAAGGATGGGAATTGAAACCCACACAGCCTGCTGTTCGAGGGAGGGGAGTGGAGAGCTCCTAGCCCCTGTTCAACTACATGGTAGGGGGGGCACACTCTCCCCAGAAGGAAAGGGGTTTGCTCCCTCAGGGTCCCTGCTGGACCAAGCCCATCTCTTACCCAGCTTGGGCAGGGGGCTCTGCCCTGAGGGCGGGCCAAGGAACAATGGGGAAGTGGATGTGGACAAACCAGTTCCCAAACTACTTCCCACTTCTCCCTCCTCTAACCAGAGGGGGGGAAAGGGAGAGGCCAGAGGGGAAAGGGTATGGTAGGGCCTGAGCTGCAGCTGCCTCTCGGAAGGGAGAATGGCCCATGGCCTTCCTCCCTTCACCTTCAACCCACTCCCAAAACTTCATTTGGAAGCAGGCTGGAGGCTGGCTGAAATCCTCCTTTCCCTCTGGCTTCCCCTTAGAGGGAGAAGACATTGGAGGGTCAAGAACAGAGGAGCCCAGACCCCAGGATTTATTCTAACTCCTGCCAAAATCTGTTTGGCTTTTTAAAAAATAATCACAATTCTTGGGTTAAAAACCAATTTGTAACCAGGCATCAGCCACAATCCGAACCACCCCAGGGGGAGATTGGGGTTCCAGACAGGGTACTGCAGCCCCATCTCTCGTTGTTCCCTTAACCCTCTAGGGTCCCTAACCCAAATCAGTCCAACCAGTCCTGGGTACTAGCTACCCAAATGTGGGATGGCTCCTCGTGGGAAGAGGGCAGGGTTCACATCCAGCAAATGCCAGAGAACATGGCTCAGGGTCAACTCCATCCCTGTGTCAGTCAGCTCTGCTCCTAGCCCAGACTAGTCCTCCAGCTCAGCTCCTGGGAGCGATGGTGCCCATGTGGAGGTGGGACAGTACATCTCTTCGGGATGTAGACCAGGCAGGTGGGCACACTGGCATGATAGTCCCACAGAGGGGCAATGCCTAGGCATGACACCCCTCTACTGACAACCCAGAGCACAGAGACTAGCCTCTTCCCACCCCAACTCCTAGCAAAGGGGGAGAGGTAAAAGATCAGGATTTTCCTCAGAGCCCCAAACCACAAGTACAGAATAAATAACTTAAAAGCGGCTAAGGAAGGGGAAACAGGGCAGGCTTCAGAGGCAGGAGCATCGAGAGAGGAACTGAAGCTGGTCAAGGTGAAGGAGGGGGGTAGCAAGCAGCAGTTGGGAACTTGGACTGCCCTGCTAGGGCAGCGGGGCAGGGTAGGCGGGAGGAACATGGGGCCACCCCAGGAGGGTGAGGCTGGGCCCCTTCCTGGGGCAGGGAATGAGGTAAGAAAACATTTCAAATAAAGCAGCACCGTTCCCTCTCACCTTGGGGCCCCACTCCTCACCAGCCCTGGGTCAGGGAGGAAAGGTAGGGGGAGGGGAGTCATTTTGATACACAGCTCCCTCTTCCTACCCTCCCTTAGCCCCTTCCTTGAAGCTGTAGAGGCTGGAGGCCCTTTCCTGGCACCCAACAACAAAAGGACAGCTCCTGCTGCCAAGGAGGCCCATGGGGACTGAGGGGAAAGGGCTGCCCCTGTGGGGGGCAGGGAAGGCGGTGGCAGCTCTGGACGCCCACCTCAGCAGACAGCTTGCTGTGCCTGCCTACCCCTGGGATTGGGGGCATTTGATAGGATTCTGCACACAGACAGGACACGCCCAGCCCTGCCCCTCAGCTCCAAGCACCGGACCCATTCACATTGCTGAGGGCAGCTGGGGGAGGCCCCCTCCAGGCTCAGCTTCCAACCCACAGCCTCCCGGGTAGCCACGATGCTTCTCGGCAGGGCTTAGTCCAGTTCCTGGGGTGGGGGGCAGGCAGTGCCCTGGCACAGTGCCCAGGTCAGGCCCCTGGCCTAGCTGGACATCCAGTAACTCACAGAATAAATAGGAAAACCGCCTCCCCACCAAACTTATGTCCAAGGCATAATATGTCCAGGTCTGAGTCCTGCATGCCAAGGGGTCGTGCTCCATTGCAGAGGACCCTGACACCCCCCAGGGGTGCATAATTGGATCCTCTGCCTGCCTGGCCCACCAAGCTTCCCAAGCCCAAACCCCCAGCAGCCGTCCATTTGCCAGGCTTTGCCACCTGGGTGGGGGTTGGGAGAGAGGGCTCTGCTCAGCCAAAGGCTATCCCTGCACCCAAGTCAGTTGATGTCATCGTAGATGCTGGGCGTCGGGGGTGCCGGTGGCTTTGGCTTCTTCTTCTTGTTGGAGCCTAGGCTGGAGGCAGTCCCTACCAGGCTCAGATGGGATTTCTTTTTCTTGGTTTTCCGTGACTCAGAGCTGTTGGTACCTGAAGAGAAAGAGGCACCAGGGATGAGGGTTGGGCTGTGTCAGGAGAACACAGGTGTCCCCACAACCCTGGCTTCGGGCAGAAAGCCCGTGGGGCCCAGATAGATCACCTACCTAGACCCCATCCCTGATTCTCACTCGTCTTGGAGGAGCCTGAATCAGAGGGTGAGAGATCAGAGGAGCCGTCCCACTGAAGCCGGCTGATCAGGGCCTGGCTGTCAGTCATGTCAAAGCTGTCATTATCCAGGGAACTCTCGACCTCTGGAAGGACGCTGGAAAGGAGAGGGGTCAAAGAAGGGCTTTAGGGATACCAATCATCATCCTGATCTTCCACAACCCACCACCCTCCTTGGAGGGTCCCTTACACTGAGGGTCCGAGGAAATAAATCCGCACGGCTCGCCGCTGCTCATCTGTGTGCTGGGGGCAGCGCAGGGACCTGGTGGGGAGAGAATTAATCAGAGCCTGACAAGGCACGAAGGGTCTGAGGACCTCAGGTGAAGCCCCTTTTCCTCAGCAGAGGCGGGAGGAATGGACTCAGACCGGGAAGGGATAAACAGAGTGCCCCCAGATTGTGGCACAAGGCCTGACCATGAGAGGAGGGAGGGGAAGGGTGGGAGCCCCACTGCTCAAGTCCAAGGGTACTCCCGACCCATGCCCAGGGTGAGCGTGCAGGAGGGCCCCCTGCCCCCTTTCTAGGTTCTGAGCTCACCTTGTGCACATCTTCTTGGTGTGTTCAGAAATCACCCCACATTGCTAGAAGAGGAATAGAAGCTGAAAGGAGGGATGGAGGGAGCCTACTCTAGACGCTAGATATTCTCTTCTGTAAAAATGCTGCATTGCACAAACAGAAGTGGCCCCAAGGTGTCCAGGACAGTCCCAGACCACCACCGGCCAGGAAACCTGATTCCAGAGAGAGCAAGCTATGTGGCCCTGACTGCTGTCACCATCCCCCCCCCCCGGGGACGTGACCACTGCCTGTGGCTCCAGCCCACTCCCAAGGGCCTCCCCTTCCCTGGTCTCTCACCGTGGTGAGCAGGTTACGCAGCTCGTCCGGCCCCAGAGTCTCGTAGCTGATCCCAGTTGAGTTGTTATACTGGGGGAGAACCAAGAGTACAGGTCAAAGAAGAGGCAGCCCCAGAGGGAGGGGGGAAGGGCCGGATGGGTGGGGGGAACCAGTCTCTCTCATCCGTCTCTATGTGGGAGGGCCTACGACCGGCCCAGCGGTTTTCCAGTGATTCTGCCCATCCCACCGGCATGTCAGGGAGGGGCCAGGACCCAGCAAGAACATAAATATGCCAGACCGAAATACCCCATCTAGTGCTTCCGGCATCGGCATTCTGATCCCCACCTGTCCAAACCCCACCCAGCTCACAGCAAGGAAAACGAGAGAAAACCTGAGAGGGGCAGCACCTACTCACCTTAAAAGGATCCGAATTGCTAAGTTCCCCTGAAGAAGAAAAAAGAAGGGGAAGGGTGTTTGATGCAGAGGTACAGACAGAGAACCCTGAAAATAACCAGAGAGGAAGTGGGGGTGACAGAAGGATCACAGGCCCTCCCTCGATACCCCTGCCCCCCTCAGCCCCCCACCTCCCCCCTCCAGCAATGAGTCCCAGCAGACGCAGCTAGAACCACCCCCATCGTTCAAGCCCCACTTACCATTTTTGTGTTTTAAAGACTTGGATCTTCGAGGGGAATTGGGGTTCTGGAATGGGAGATACCACAGCTTTGGGGAAAGGGTAACGATAAGGGGGAGCCGAGAACCCAGGGAAGGAAAAAAGATTTGACAAAGAAACATCCTCAAATTCCTACTCTTCCTCCCCAGTAAGAGGCCCACCTACCCATATTCCCTCCTCCCCTACTCCCCCAAGGCCTCTGCTGCCCTCCAGCCCACCACAGACACCCTCATCCCAAAACCCAGAGAGGCACCCCATGGACCTCAGACTTGAGTCAAGATACCAGAGGACTCCCTGCCCAAAGGGGAGGGTATCTGTCCTTCGCCCAAATTTCCCTCATGCTTGCCCCGGCTCTCACCTTGTCTGATTTTCTCTTCTTGGCTGAAGAAGACAAAAACCAGAGGGCAGGGTCACTTTAAGTTCTCAATCTAAGGACCCCCATGGAAACACACAAAGCTACATTCTCCCCTCCTCATCCATTATAACAACTTGTGACCCTTATGTACCCAGTTCCCACTTGCCCACCTCACCCCGATGCCCACCCACCCCAGCTTCCCCAGATCCCCAAACACCTTTCTTCTCTGAGCCATAGGACCAGTCGTTATCATTGATGTCATCGTTATCCTCTTGGTCACTCTCGGACTTGTTCATATTGTTGCTATTGGCAATCCTGCCAACGGAAGGGAAGACAAAGGGTCAAGGCGGCCACCTCTCTCTGCCCCCGGCCACAGAGGCCAAGCACGTGCCACCCTCTGTGCCCTACCCAGGCGCCAGCGCCGCGGCCCAGGGTGCGAGAGACGAGCCCAGCAGCTCTGGGTCTAGGAGCGGCAGAAGCCCGAAGCCCTCACCGGCGGTTGGCGATGCGGCTGCTGTTCCGGCCCATTCCCAGGCACTTCTCCAGGTGGGGAGCGAAGCGGGAGGCAGCAATACTGCGGCTGCAATTGGGGCAGACACACTCCTTGCTCTTCCACTGGTTGAAAACCTGTCCAAAGATGTCCAACCCCGGCTGGTCCACGATCTCTGGGGACAGGAGAGGCGTGGCGATCAGGGCAGGCAGGGGACCCTCACCTCTTGTTTCCCCGCCCGTGGCCTCTTGAAACCCCCTGCCTAGGCTCACAGGAGCTCCAGGCGCTGTATCTGGTGCAGTTTCCAGAGGAGGAACTTCCAAGGATCCCCGGGGCAGGGGCCGGGCGGCTCTCCTTCAACCCTGAAGCTCACCAAAATCCTTCATGCTATCAGGGTCCGTGTCGTCCAGGAAGAAGTAGCCACACTTGACAGCCCGGTGTACCTCGAAGCAGAATCCCAAACAAGAATCCTCGACCAGGTCCGCGTATATCTCCTGAGCTATGGCCTGGGCCCAGGGGAGAACATCCGCGGTCAGGAGGGTCACGGCCCCCTGGCCTGAGAGCAACTCTCACCAACCAAACCTGTCAATTCACCCTGGCCAAAGATAATGCTTTCTTTGCCATTTTCCCCGTCTTGACGTCGCGTCCTTTCTTCTTCCAGATCCTTGGGCCTTTTCAGCTGGCTATTCCCTTTAAGGAACCAGGCTGACTACCCAAATTCCTCTTTGGTGTGAACGCCAGATATAGCGACGTAGAGACATCAAGAGAAAGAACTAGAGGCACACGTGGGGGAGCCCTCACCTCTAGTTTGCTGTTATCCAGGCCAGACAAAGACATTTCCTCCATTTTCATTTGTAAACTCTTGTGGAGACGGCGCTCTGACTGCTCATAGCACAGCGGGCGGCAACACGGCTGCACACATGGGGGTGGGGGGTGTTGGTGTGAGGCCAAGCACCTCTGCAGACCGCCACCTCCCCTCTGCACCCCACTGCCCGGAGCTTACTCCTGCCATCAGGATATACCCCTCCCCAAGGCCTAGGCTCACTAAGTCCGGATGGTCCTTCAGGGCCTGAAACCCAAAGGTGGCCTAGTCCTTCCCAGGACTGAACTCGGGCCCTGGACTCTGCCACCAGTCAAAGTCTGGGTCTATAGGAGGCAGCAGCTCACCCAGGTCCCCCAAACTCAAACCCCTCTTCGATACCCATGGTGCAATGCAGCAGGGGGAGGAGAAGGAACTCTAAGGCCTCAAAGCAAACCCACAGGGTGTGGCAAAGAACTGCACAGACTCCTAAATACACCCCCCCCCTTCCCTAGGCTCTCCTCAGAGTCACCTCTGCTTTCAGCCAGGATGTCCACTTGGGGGGGTACTGCTACCAGAAGTAGGAATGGCCCTAGAACCCTACAACCTTCACCCCACTCTGTCTTCCCCTGAAATAAGCCTGTGACTACAGAAGGGGAGCAGAGCCCACAGAAACCTAGAGCTAAAGGAGCATTTCTAGCCACCATGAGCAAGAAGAGGGGATAGAGCCCGGTTGGGATGGCATGCCGGGAGTGGGCACTCCCCTTACCTGTTCTCCTTTTAGATAACCACCCTCCCTCCCTCAGGACCAGCCCGGAAGTCTCTCCAAGAGCCCCAAAGTCCAGCAATCCCCACCAAAGGATTCAGAAACAGCGCCCACAGTCCGGGGCCCCTCTGAACGGTGGGTACGAGTTTAAGGAGCTGCCGACCTAGAGTGGGGTGGGGACTGACAAATGAGCCAGGGGCACTGGGGAGGGTAGGAGGCCGGGCCTCGGCTCTTCCCCCGTCCCTGCGGCACTGCTGCTGCATCATACCGACTGGGGGGAGGAGAGCCGAGCCGCCCGAGGCCGGCGCCGGTCCGGGACAGACCGACCCCTAGAGAGTGGGCAGAGTGGGACGCGTCCCGGCCCCTCTCCTTCCCCGCCCGCCGACAGCCCCAGCCGGCCGGGGAGAGGAGTCCGGGAGGGTGTCTCTATTGTCCCGGGGGCTGGGGCCTGGCTCCCTAACAAAGGCCCCGCGCCCCCTCCCCGGCCGGCCCTGCCCCGCCCAGGGGGGACCCAGACAGGGGGAGAGCTGGGGGCCCGGGCCGGGCCGGGAAGCCGGGGGAAGCCGGGCGTTTCCGCGTCGGCCCGGGGGGAGGGGAAGGGGCGCTGACCCAGACCTGGGGGGAGGGGGCCCAAGCCCCGCCTCGGGCCCCGCCCCCCGCCCCCCGCAGGCCCCTCCCCCGTCCCCGTCTCCGTCCCGTACTCACCCCGCCCGGGGGGCCGCGCCGGGGCCCGGCGGCCTCTCAGGGCCGCGTCCTCCGGCGGCGGCGGCGGCGGCGGCTGCTGCGGAGCCCCATGTCCGTCGGTCCGTCCTCGCCTCTCCCCGGGGCCCAGGGCCCGGGGCCGGGGGGTCGGGCCGCCCCCCCGCCTCGCCGCCTCACCGGGCGGCCATGGCCCCTTCCCCTCCCTTCTCGTCCCGTCGCCGCCTCCTCCTCCTCACCTCACCCCGCCCGCGCGCAGTCCGCGCGCCGTCCGCGCGCCCCTCCCCCCGCCCCCCACTCCAGCCCGCCTCTCCCGGGCGGGGGGTGCGGCGCGAGCCCGGAGCGCGCGCGCGTGCCGCGACCGGAGGATGGATGGATGGAGCGAGCGAGAACGCGAGCGTGCGCGCGCGCGCCCCTCTCCCCCTCCCTCCGCGCGGGCGCGAGGCCAAGCGCGAGCGCGCTCCAACCTCCTCCTCTTCCTCCTCCCGCCCCTCTTCAACACCCCGCCCCCGCCCTCCCTTCCTCTTCCTTCTTTCGCTTTCGCGCGCCCAGCGACTGCTCGCGCCTGCTAGAAGGGCCCGAGCGCGTGCATCTGCCCCGCGGCCGCAGCTCGGCAGCATTTGCTCCAGGGGGCGGGGACCGGGCGGGGAGGAGGGGCGCCACGCCGCCGTCCAAAGTACCGGCGGACGGGGACGGGGGCGGGGAGATGGGCGGGGCCTTCGGGAGCAACCTCGGCCAATCGCCGTCTCGCCTCGGTCCGGCCGGCCCAATAGGATAGCGGTGGGTGGAGCGACGTTCAAGGTGAGGTGCGCGGTGCGCTGGGGGCGGAGACGTTGTGCCGTCCCGGCCGGCTCCGGGGCGGGGGCAGCGGGTGGCGTCGAAAGAGAGCGCCGGCTCCCAGCCGAGCCTGGGACGCCTTCCGGCCCAGGATCCCCCGCCCTTCCCTCGGGGCTCCCAGCTCTTCCCCCCTCCCGCCCCCGGGCGCCCCCACGCCGGCATTTACCCCGTAGCGTGCAGCCACTTCTCTGAAGAGGCCGGAGTTGAAGTGGGGCTCTGTGAGCACCTCAGGGCAGAAAACCTATGGAGCCAAAGGGGCTCGTCCGAGCCTCCGTTCCCCTGTTTCTGGGCGGGTCTCAGCCCACTCCAGGCCTGCGAGCCAACGAACGCCCGAGATGAGGGTCCTCGGCTGAGGGCGGAGGCCGAGCTGTGCCCTTCTGAGCGGAGCGCCCTCCCGGCCCTCAGCCTAATTTAGATCCCACACCTGCTCGGCTTTCCTGCTTCCGGAACCCACGCTGGACCCCCCACCTCTCGGACAGCCTGCCTGGCACTAGCCAGACCCTGCCCCCGACCCCGCGCTACTGCCCCGGGTGTGCCCGGATCCGCGCGCTCTCAGTCCCCCTTTACCTTCTGAAGGGAAAGGCCTTTCCTAGCCGCAACCGATGCCCAGACTGGCGCTTCTGTCTCGGTTATTCTCTGGGTCTGGAGTGTTGGAACGGGGGTCTGACAGCCCTCTCCCCCTTAGAAGAGGGGATTAAACGAGGAAAGTCCCAAATCATACACTTGGGGACCATCATTGGCTGTTTGGTCTTCCGCAAACATATGTTGAGGCAATAGTCCTAAGTGGTTAAGACCAGATTTGAATTAAACCTATGGACCTGGCAAATAAACTTGGGCAAATGAGCTCTCTGTTGCCTCAGTTTACTCTGTTGTCACCGGGTATAATGATAGTACCTATCGTTAGGTTGTTGTGAGCACTGACAACTCAGTGCATGTGAAATTCTTAGCTCACTGTAAGTGGTTTATAAATTTTAGCTGCTATTCTTACGTGCTCTAAGAATCTTACAGTGCCCTGTGCTGGGATACAAAGATGAAATAAGACAATTGTGCTTCCTCAAGAAGTTTACAATTTGTCGGGTAGACAGAACTGTAGGAAAATAATTGCCAAACACTGATAAAAACAAGAGAGAGGGTACCTGGGTGGCTCAGTCAGGTAAGCGTCTGACTTCAGCTCAGGTCACCATCCTGGGGTCCTGGGATTGAGCCCTGTAGGGCCCCTGCTCAGTGGAGAGTCTGCTTCTCCCTCTCCCTCTGCCCCTACCCCTCTCCGGCTCTCTCTCTTTCAAATAAATAAATAAAATCTTAAAAAAACAAACAACAACAACAAAAAAAAAAAAAACAAGAGAGAGATGCACAGGGGATGGGGTCGCCAGGAGGACAGTTAAAATTATGTAAGAGAGTTGGTCAGTAACGGCTTCTTATAGTGGGAGATGAACTAGGTCAAGGCAGGCCAGGAAGGCACTAGACATCCCAAAGAGCAAGCTTCAGGAGTGTGGTTCAGTTTGGGGCCTGGCTGGAGCATAGGAATGGGTGGGGAAGCAGCAGGAGGTGAGCAGGTCAGACCATACAGGACTAAAGGTGTGCCTGTAGGCCATGAGGAGTCCTCAAGGGGAACCATTTGATCAGACTTGAATTTTAAGTAGATTATTCTGGCATGCTGAGTCTGTAGATTGTATTTATTTATTCATTCACTCATTTATTCGGGGGGAGAGAGGGAACACGAACAGGGGTTGCAGCAGAGGGAGAGGGAGAAGCAGGCTCCTGGCTGAGCAGGGAGCCTGATGCAGGGCTCGATCCCAGGACCCTGGGATCATGACCTGAGCCGAAGGCAGACGTTTAATCAACTGAGGCACCCAGGTGCCCCGAGTAGGTAGATTTTTGTTATCGATTGAGGTGTATGAGGTAAAGGACAAGCCCCGAAAACACCTTTAACCAAGATGGGGAATTCTGAGGAGGAGATATGAGGATATAAGGAGAAGGACAAGTTCAGTTTGGTATATGTTGTAGGTACTGTGGGACCAGCTGGTGGAGACTCTCTGAAGATCACTGAAGTGAGGCCAGGCCTTCAGGAACCTCCAAAATGTGAATCAGGAATTCTCAACTCCGACGATGATGATCTGTTTCTCAGTCTCTAAATATGCCCAGTATATCTGCCCTGAGGAATTTACACATGCCCAGGAAGACTTCCTGTCTCCTCTCTGTTTACCTAAATGCTTCCTCACTTTCCCACCCGTGGCCATCCTCACACCAAACTCCTTTACAAGTGGATCATTTCTATTCATCCAGCCCTTGGCCTGGGCTGCTCAGTGGTGGTGACCTCTTTGGGAACGTGCCCGGTCTCCACAGTTAGCATCAGTCAGTCAATAAACACTAAGGACTGCGCTGGTCTGGGCTCTGGGCGAGGCCCTGGGGTGTAAGCAGCGAGCCAGAGAGACATACAGACTTTGTCCTAGTGGAATTTACACCCCAGCAAAGCCTGATGTGGATGAAACAAGACTGAGTGTGAAGGCATCCGGGCTGCTGAAGAAACAAATGGCATGATTTTTTTGTCAAGGGGTCAGAGAAGATCCCCCCCACCCGGAAGAAGTGATCTTTTAAGGGGAGCTCTGAATTAACTAGACAGTGAGGTGAAGAGGAACATTCGAGGCAGAGGGTATGGTGATGTGCACAGGCAGAATGTGGCCCTGGGAGAGAGAGTGGCATGTTTTGAGACCTGGACGGCTAGTATAGCTGAGTTGGTACAGAGGCCAGCAGGGGCAACGGATCCCCCAGGAGCTTGTCAGCCATACTTAGTCACTCATTCAACAAATGTTTCTTGAGTGTCAAATGTATACCAGGCAATTTTAGGTGCTGGGGTTACTGTAGTAGACAAGCAGATAAGGTGTCTTCTACTTGGGGAGATAGACAATAAACAAGTAAACAAATATAGAAACAAAGATGTAGGAGGAGGCCTCACTAGAAAGGGTTGTTAGGGAACGCCTGTCTATGAGGTGACATTTGAGCTGAAGCCTGCAGGATGAGAAAACCAGCTGTGTGTAGAATTGAGAGATTAGCATTTGGGGCAGAAAGTACAAAGGCCCTGTGGTAGGCATGTTTGAAGAACAAAAGAGATCATTTGGCTGGATCGTTGTGAGTGATTAGGAAGAGCAGGGTGAGAGAAGGTGGGAGATGGGAAGCAGGGGCCAGGCCTTGTGGAGTCATGTAAGTTGTTAGTACAGAAGTAACCAGATTTCTTTTTTTTTTTAAGATTTTTATTTATTTATTTGACAGAGAGAGACACAGCGAGAGAGGGAACTCAAGCAGGGAGAGTGGGAGAGGGAGAAGCAGGCTTCCCGCGGAGCAGGGAGCCCGATGTGGGGCTCGATCCCAGGACCCCGGGATCATGACCTTAGCGCCCCATGAATAAAAAATTTTAAAGAAATAAAGTGAAAAATCTGAGGGGCGCCCGGGTGACTCAGTCATTAAGCGTCTGCCTCTGGCTCAGGTCATGATCCCGGGGTCCCAGGATCGAGCCCCGCATCGGGCTCCCTGCTCCACGGGAAGCCTGCTTCTCCCTCTCCCACTCCCCCTGCTTGTGTTCCCTCTCTTGCTGTGTCTCTCTCTGTCAAATAAATAAAATCTTAAAAAAAAAAAATTTTTTTTTATTCATTTAAGTAAGCTCTACACCCAATGTGGGGCTCAAACTCATGACCCAGAGATCCAGAGTCGCACACTCTTCCACCTGAGCCAGCAGGATGCCCCCAGATTTCTTTTTTAAAAATAACTTTGGTTGCTGTGTGCAGAATGGACTGTAGGGGGCAAGAGTGTAAGCAGGAAGACCAGTTTTAGGAAGTCTTTGCGGAAGTTGAGCAATGATGGTGGCCTTGAATAGGATGGGGATGACAGCAATGGGGAAGGGTGCACAGATTTGGGAGAGATACAGGAAGTGGAATGGACAGGTCTAGGTGAGCAAATACATATGGAGGTTTAAGAGGGAGAGAGAAGTCAAGGCTGATACCCTAGTTTCTAGTTTGAATAACTAGAGGTTGGTGATCATTTTGGGCCTTGAGGGATGAGGTGCCTGCAACATATCCCAGAGGATACACAGAAATCTACACAGGTTTGCAGTTTGGAAGAGCGGTCTCTGTAGATACCAC